CTCCTCCTCTCCTCCTCCTCCTCCTCCTCCTCCTCCTCATCTTCTTCTTCTTCTTCCTCCTCAGCTTCAGCTCCTTCAGCTCCTTTATTGTTGTCGGCATCGACGTCTATAACCTCTCCATCTTTGCGCTCTACCTTGCTGCTTCGCTCGCCGTCTTCGTCACCGCCATCTCCCTTAGTCGTCGGTCCCTCGACACTTTCTCCTGTCTCTCCAGTCGGCTCGTCTTCTGATTTTCCATCTTCTGATGCTCCAGGAGCATTTGTCTGCGCGCTGTGTTCGTCTTCTGTCTTTTTGGCTGGCGTGGAGCTCACGTTGTGCGCATCAGAGAGCTCTGGCTGGGGTTGCTGCCCATCAAGCTGCTGGGGCGGCTGTCCTGTCATGATGGCGATTGCGCATATGTCATTCTGGGTACCAGAGGGATCGCTAGTGAGGCTCGAATTCAGGTATCAGAGCATGCAGCACACGGCCGCCGCTCGACAGGGTGGAAAGGAAAACAAAAGAACCCAGGCGGTGGTGATGAGGATGCTATGCAGACAGCAGTACTCCGCAGCTTTGGTACCTGACGGGAGCTGTGTTGGCCGTCGACGTCACGAGCTATCAGTGCCTTAAAGGTGCATTAGTGCCAGCTGAGGCAGCTATGGCCGCTATTTGGTGCCGCTGCTACAATGCCCAAGTGCCCTGTGGGATGCTACCAGTCGCAGCTGACCCCACTAGAGCTTAGCTGCCCTATGCTGCACCGCCAGCCACGCGCCGACACGCGAATATTTCGGTACTTCCAGATGTCTCATCACCAACAGAGAGAAGCACAACCATCCTCGCATGATAGCCTGTATCTGCCACGCATTTAGCTGTGATTCTCTGAACGAGAGATGATGCCTCGGCTAGGATCCGACAAACACTAAGTGGGCGGCAATATTGAAGCACGACGCTTTTCTCAACGGGCTTATGGAGCTCATCCTTGTTCGATATGGCGACTGTTCAATCTCTGGGCCTGCATCAACCGGCAGGGCTCAGGCATGCCATTGACGAACAGCTGCTTCCCAAGGACCCGCCTGCTTCATCTTACGCCTGGGATATCTTCATTGATGACAGAGATGGAGCGCAGATAGAGGACGAGCTGCTCACGACTGAGACGTGTGTTGTGTGGTCTCGTGGAGGACTCTTCCGCAAAACATTCAAATTCGACCTTGAAAAAGAGGCCATCACGCAAGCTCTTCTCACATATTTTCCGGTTTCTGGGGATGGGAGCAGTGGTCGCAACTCCTCCGGTGCTGGGGATCGCCATCCCATGGCCCTAGAAAAGGGTCTGGTGGTCTTTCTCAAAACCCAGGCTCACATCTACATGCTGTCAGGGACAAGCCACGTAGTCCACATGCCGTTCGAAGTCGAATCAGCATGTGCTGCCCCTGTTGGAGTTCTTATCCAGACAAAGCAAAAGGCGGAAAATCTGGCGCCAATTTCCCTAAAGTTTCCTCGAGTCCCGCCCAACTCCTTTGTTTCGTCTCAGTTGACTGCATTGCAGGGCTCCCAACAAACCGCTTTCTCCATGGAGAGTCTTGGCAACCCAAGGTCGCTGCCAGTGGGATTGAATATGACACTGGAAAACATGTGGGATGCGCCATTGGAACAACCCGAACCCCATTGGCCTCGACTCGTAGCCCTCACTGATCCAATGTTGGATATTGGGCTTGTGGTAACAGATTCCGAAAACCCAACTTCGACAAGAAGAGGTAGAAATAAATCTTCAAAGAAACATGGCTTCCTTGATCCTTGCGAGGAGCTGCTCCATATTGAGAAAGTTGTCATCCCTGGCACTTCCCCCAAGCATCCATACGAGTCTTTAATATTGGGAGTCACTATCAATCGTGAGGCTAATGCCTATACGATCTGGAGACTGGCCTATCTGGATCACCAAGACCACTTTATAAAACGTCACAAATCTTCTGGCACAAGAGCGTCACGACGACGGAGCTCTATGCAGCCAGGCTTCGCCAGTGGTACATCGACCCCTGTGCAAGCAAATCATCGAGATAGCTTTGGAGCACCGCTTCCCGGGAAACGGCCACGGAAGAGCGAAAAGGTTGAAAAACCATTGGATTTGGTATCATCGCTAGAGAGGCAGGATATGGATAGCTTTGGAGTAGGGCGGAGGAGCTCACGTAGGCTGAGTTCAATGCTGGCCCGCGCAGACCTCTCGGCCTCTTACGACAGGATCATATTCCCTGACCAGTCTTCGATTCTGGGGAGCGCCTCTTCAAAACGACATGACTCTCTTGGTCACCATGGCCGCTCTAGTGCCTCTTTTATTCACCAGGGCCATCATAGCCTTAGCAGTTTGCTGGAAGCTCCGCTGGATGGTGGCTTGGAGGATCGTGTTCACAACATACGGCTTGATGATCGCGAATTCGATGGGCTGCAACACGAAATGCTCTTCAGCAAAATCCACATCATCCCGATAGATAGTTCAACCGTTCATTATTCAGCATCTAGCGGCGCAGCTCGAAACCAGCCCAAAGTTTTCATCCTTGCGGCTCCTCCGTTTGCTACGAATGACTGCCAAGCGGGCCAGTTGCTTATCGGGATTCAAGAGACTGTAGAGAAACGCCTTCAAATGGTAACCTTCCCTCTCAAACTGCAGCAAAAGCCTGACGCTACGGTAAACCCTGAGAGAGGGGAGTCGCCGCACACCATTATCACTATTTTGCCGGGTGATTTCAAGAGGGCGCAGAATGTCGTTGATTCATGCAAAATTGTGGATGGAAATCAATCCGCCATTCTTGTTCTATCCGAATCTATGGATGGCCGACATGAGCTGAGCGCTCAGGCGCCATGGAGCGACATGACCAAGCTCTCAATTTCTCTCCTTTTTGTCGATGATACAAAAAGTTTACAGTTCCGCGGGAGGGCAGTTGACAGAGATATAAGGCAACGAAAGAGCGAAATTATAGATCTCACCAATGGCAGCATTGTCGGCGTTTGCCACCCTAGACATCGCGGAATTGTTGACGTTGTTGACACCCAAGGGCGCTTGCATCAGTTGAAAATCCAGCTGCGGCCATCTAGCAGTCCCGTGTCTGATATTCTCAATGTCTGCAGAAGCGTCTTAGCAGATTCACTAGGAGAGCGGATCCATACTGGATGGCTTCACACCATGCAGTGGCTCTATAGCCAAGGCAAAGCCGATACCAATGTAGAATGGTCTGCGTTGACTACCTTGCTCCTGGCATTATTCCTCAATTTAGACCGGCAAGAACTCCGAAATCCGCCTTCAGAGAGGCTCCCGGTTCGGAAGCGGAGGATTCCTTCTGGCTCTTACGCATCCATTCGAGATTCCGATGATTGGAAAGCTCTAGAAAAGGGGGAGACTGCAAATTCTCTCGGCTGTCCGTCATGGATGATTAATCGCGGATGGCAATGGGTACTAGAAGATGATGTGGAAGAAGCCTCATCTCAAAGCGGTGCTCAAGGTCTTGGCGCCAAATTCATTTCCAGGCATGTTGCTCTTGCCAAAGAGTATATGAGCTCAACAGTCGGGATAACTGCTTTGGGCCCTTCTGGATACCTCCCAACTTCCCTTGGCAGGAACTCTGAATACAAGCGCAGAGTCGCAGTGGATATCTTCATGGCTTTGCACTTGTTATCAGAAGAACAGAAGCTCAATATTATGTCTGCTGAGTACCAAACCTCTGGCCGGGCTGATTTCCGAGTCATCTTGTGTCAGATTGCAAGATGGCTGAAATGGGACACATTTTCATCTTTTTACGAGCTAGGAATACAAGAGGACATTGATCCACGTCATGACCACGGTACGATCTCCTTCTTTTCTGCTAGATCTAATGGAATAAACTAACAAGCTTGACCTTCGAGAACTTCGCTTGAAATCTCCAATTCCTGAACCGCCAGACAGGCCAGATATACTAGAATGGATTCAATCCTGCTTTGTAGGACTTCGCGGCCAACACTATGTCACTCCAGCAGATATATTCTATGCTGCAACGCAGTTATCTGAGCCAGACAATATAATTGACAACCGCTGGGACTCCATCCTTCCCCGAACCTTGATATTCAAGCGTTTCTTCAGTCTTGTAAAACCCAATGCCACAGCAGGGCAAATGGTCGAAGCGATGAAAGACTGCGGTCTGACGGGCCATGTCCTCGGAACTCTCCCAGAAGCTATACTAATACCTCTTCAAGATGCCATAGCGCTCTGTCAACCACACCCTCCCTCTTCGTGGTCGGATGAGATGTTAGAGTTGGTAAAGAGAACCGATATTAGTCTGATTCTCACATCCACTAAACGCCCTCGCCCGGCCATGTCGAATATCTTGGTGAGCAGCTATCATTATGCCAATCTTTCTTAATTATGTTGCTAATAGTATGCCTAGATACCCACACATACTGCAAGCTGGGAATACAAGTTGCTCTGCGAAAGCGTCGAGCAAACTAATAGTCAAGGCTACGATGAAGGCGAAGGAACTGAACGCCAATCAGTTATCCGAGCGCTTTTCAAGGATGATCGCCGCCTTCAAGAAGCCCGAGACTTGCTTGCTACTCACAAACCAAGGATTGTGAGTCTAGCCCAAGACCCAGGCTTGCCTGACCATGAGTATCTGGAAAAGCAAAAAGAGCTGGTTTCCCGGATCGCCACTGGAACTCTGGCTATTCCAGCAGGAAGAGGATTACTCTACTTTAGCCTACGCTTTCCTCTCATCACTCAAAAATTCCATATTGGTGGTTTCAACCTGAACTGCGTTGTAAAGCCAAACAATGTCACTGTAGGTGTGGACAAGGCGCTATTCACAGAAGAGAAGGTATGCTGGGGATTTTTCCATCAAGGTGTTGCAGCAGGGTTGGCAATTTCTCCACAAGCAAAGGGCATTGACACTTCGTGGATCTTGTACAACAAGCCGGGACAAGATCTCAGCAATCGCCACGCTGGGTTCCTTTTAGCCTTGGGGCTGAATGGGCACCTCAAAGATGTCGCAAAGTGGGTGGCTTTCAAGTACCTGACGCCAAAGCATACCATGACCTCCATTGGCCTGTTGCTAGGCCTCGCCGCGTCGTACATGGGCACCATGGACTCTCTCATAACCCGTCTACTGTCTGTACATGCCACACGTATGCTTCCACGCGGGGCTGCGGAACTTAATCTTTCGCCTCTCACCCAAACGTCTGGCATCATGGGAATTGGTCTCTTGTATTGTGGCAGCCAGCATCGACGCATGAGCGAGATAATGCTCTCCGAGATTGAGCACGTCGAGGATGAGGATGAAGAGGAGCCGCTGAGGAGTGAATGCTACCGTCTTGCGGCCGGCTTTGCTCTTGGTTTCATCAACCTTGGCAAGGGAAATGACCTCAGGGGCTTACAAGATATGCGACTCACCGAGAAACTCATCACGCACGCCACTGCGACTAAAAACGTCGAGATTGTACATGTCTTGGATCGAGCCTCAGCTGGCGCAGTTATGGCCATTGCACTCATTTTCATGAAGTCAGAGGATCAGATTGTAGCACGCAAGATTGATGTTCCCGACTCGGTACTTCAATTTGACTACGTCCGCCCCGACATTCTCCTCCTCCGAACTATGACGAGAAATCTTATTCTTTGGTCCCAGATTGAACCAACATTTAGTTGGATTCAAAAGAATCTTCCCGCTGCTTACCGCTCACGCCATAAATTAAGCAATACATCCAAGCTAAGATCCTCTGACTTGCCCTTTTTCAGCATTCTGACGGGTCTCTGCTTTTCTATTTCTCTGCGTTTCGCTGGAAGTGCCTCTCCCAAAGTGCGAGACTTACTATTGCATTATTTGGATCAGTTTATGCGCATCACTGGACTTCCAGCAACTCCGAGAATGCATCCAGACGCAGCTCCGCTATATGACGAAGAGCTGGCCAGGACAAACGCCCGAATGTGCCAAGATATCCTTGCAGTCTCTTGCTCTATCGTCATGGCTGGCACAGGCGACATTGCTGTTCTCCGTCGACTTCGAGCTTTGCATGGCAGAGATGACCCCGATACGCCATATGGTTCGCACCTTGCTGCTCATCTTGCCATTGGAGCATTATTCCTCGGCTGTGGAACAACTACCTTTGGATCAAGCAATAAAGCAATAGCAGCCTTATTGGTGGCCTTTTACCCGATTTTCCCGGTTAATGTTATGGACAATCGATCGCATCTTCAGGCATTTAGACATTTCTGGGTCCTTGCAGCTGAGCAACGTTGTCTTGTTGCCAAAGATGCCGTCACGGGACAGCCCGTATCCGTGCCTGTGCATATTAGAATGCGAGGCAGCTCTTCCATAGAGTCAGTGCTGCACAGAACCACTCCATGCCTGCTCCCTCCTCTCGATCAAATATCCAGCGTAACCACAGCCGGTGGGCCGCAATTCTGGGACGTCGAGCTCGACTTCTCCAATGACGAGCTCAGAGAATCATTTGCGCAGACGCAGACACTCTATCTTCGCAGGAGACCGCCGCGCGAAGGCACATTCGCTTCCACGTTGAGGGCACTCGGCGAAGATGGAAAAGGCGATAACCCGCTGGGATGGGTGCTCAACTTGAGTGCTTTGCAGGACTTGAGCTATGCTGAGAAAGCCGCCCTGCTAGATACAGGTGATGAAGAACAGGGTTCAATTGGAACCGCCGTCGACGCGAGGCTTGAAATGGAGCGAGGTATCATGGAGGGCGGTGATAGAGAGCGCCTTGAAGGTGCAAGACTGCTGTTTGAATGGGGCGATGCTCGAGATAATCTCCGCCAGGCCTCATCAGCAGCAGCCGCTATATCGGATAGTCAGAGTACCATCAAGCCGGCTACGCCTCATCATGGGTCGAGAGATGGTGCTACTCCAGAACAGGAAGAAAAGGAGGATGAAAAAGCCGAGGGCATTTGGTGGATGAGAGATAGTGCCATTGAGGCTCTCAAGGGAAAAGTGTGGATGGCGGCCCGACAGCATGAGCAGTAAACAGGCGGCATATGAAAGGGGAAGGGCTATTTCTTTGTCGGGGCTGTCTTAAGTTTACTACATAATGACTTATGATGAGTACTACGAACACTACTGAGATGTCATATAGATACATATAGAGTCAGTGGCATGCACCAAACTAAATAATGGACCTGTCTTTTCAGCACGCTGAGTAGGTGATGCGGTGATTTAAATAGGGACAAGTTAATAAGCACCCAAATTTCACCATACAACACCCTAGCTGTAGCGCAACAAGGCAGCCAGTCCGCATGTTATATACACAACTGCTAGATAGATAAGCAAATAACAGTAGTAGGAGATGTAGTCTCTTTATCTCATAACTGGAGTGCTAGATGATAAAACTGGGTTGCTGGATATCACGGTGTGTTTAATCCCTTATGAGCAGCACTAATGATTTTAGATGACGTCGTCGGAGGGAGCCACTTATCGCAATAACTTCTGGTATCGTGCCTTATACGAAGCCTGCAAGACCGGCATAATCCGGTTGATGATGAAGGATCAGACGCCGCATTATTCCTGGGGGCTCTAATGTCAGTAGGGCCTCTATGAGAGCAAACTTCCAAAGAACTAGAGGAAATTTGCCGAGATTTTTACATTATTTGGGAGTGGTTTCTCAAAGAGCAACAGTGATTTCAAGTTTCTTTTCATCATTTGCACAATAAACTTAGTTTTTCATTACATCTCTTGCCCTCCCTCCCTCGTCTCCCTCTCAAGATGACATCCTCCCTGTCCCTGTTTTATCCGAATAAACGCCATGCAATGCAAACCGCATCACCAGAGAGAAAAGAGAGATATGAACATAAAATAAAACAGGGCCAGTCTACCGCTTCTTTTGGCTCTTCTAGACTTTAGATTGCCTGCCCGCCTCCCTCTCCTTGTTCAAACCAGAGCCATGTTTGCATCTAAAATCGCCGGGTTTTGTTGGTCTGCAGTAGCCCATATATATCCACGTTGTGACCAAATATCCTTTCCTTCTCGCTTTTTCAAATCGGAACTGTTTATGAAATGAGGCCCAGCATCATTTTTTAAATCCACTTCCTACCCCCATTCTTCGACAAAGATCGACCGTTGGATGAAGTGTTCGTTTTGCTATTCTGATATTTTACGAATACACCCTGCTAGTAGATTTTTTTTCCCGTGCTTATTTGGAAACAGCAGCGTTCAGGACTTGCGTTCTGAAGAATCCACCCTTGGTCTTCTCGATGACCTGCTGGTAAACGTTGTTGGGCGGGTGGTTCATGATGACGGTGCCATCCTGGCTGTCAATCTTGGCATCCAGGCGGGTCTCACGAATCAGGTTGACGATCCACTTCTCGCCATCATCAGGGTTCAGGCCAAGCTTGGCGCTCAGATCCCTAATGTTCATGCGGCTGAAGATCTTGCAGTAGCTCTCGCAAATGAGGTGTCGGGCGGCGTTGACAAACGCATCGGTGGATGCAGCCAGGAAGAAGTCGCTTCGGCACACTTCCTCTGACAGGCGGAGGGCCTCACGAGCGGCATCGAAGTCGTGGGCAATGTAAAGGGCGTTGACGAACTGGGTGATGGGGTCGGCGTACTCGTAGGCCTCCTGTCGGACATAGCGAACAATGTCCTTGAGCTGCTTCTGCTGGACAGAGCTGTTGCGAGCACGTGTGCGGCCGGTGATGACGGCAGCAATCAGGTACCGCAGAATCCAGGGGCAAGAGGTCTGAATGGTGTTGATGTAGGAGGCAGAGAAGAACATGTCCAGAATGGGCTCGCGGGCACCCTCGAAGTTGAACAGGGGGAAGAGGGACCAGTGGATAAGCATAGTCCGGTGGTCAAGCTGAGCTCTGGGGTTGTTGAAGAGTCTGGTGTCGATGCCCTCACGAACATTCTTAAGCTCGTCAACGGCAGACTCCCAGTTTGTGGACAGGATTTCGGAAGCAAGCTTTCCCCAGGTTGCAGCGGCAACCTTGTCGTTGTCGGTGGAGAGAACGCGGAACTGGTAGAGCATATCGGCGGCAGGGCCATATTGGCCGCATCGGAACTGGAACTGTCCGAAATCGTACAGAGCATTCACCATTTCGAGGGTAACCTATGCATCTTTAGCATTTCCAATAACTGAGAAAGAAGGTGATTTTTATGCAGTTCAGCCCGTCTGTTTCTGCCTTGGGTTGCACCTACTCCGTGCTGGTTCTTGAGAAACTCCAAGTTGGCCACTTTGTCGCTTCGAAGGCCATTGACGACCTCGTCCTGCGTCAAGAGGTTCGCAATCTGCTCCGTCTCCTTCTCGTACTTGTCCAGCTGCGTCAGCACATCCTGTCGCTTCTTGGTGTACTCGGCGGGCGGCTCAGAAACGCCGTGGAGATCTTGGTACAGCGTGGCCACGTAGTCGGTCATGTTGGTGTCCTCCAGCAGCTTGATCTTGCCCGACAGAATCTTCTTGGCCAGCTCGGAATCGCCCTTCTCCTCGGCCTGGTCGCCCTCGAACTGGATGAGCGGGAAGAGCAGGTGACGGCTCAGATGCGGCGCAACGTTGGCCATGACTGACGCGCCATCGGCTGGCAGGGCCTTCAGAATATCCTCCATGGTGGGTAGAGGAAAAGTTCGCAGTGAGAAATAAGTCGGTCCCCGGCGATATAAGGCGTCTAGATTGTTCCTTTTAGTCGTTGAAAAAGGAGGAACTCGTCGCTAAATCTGGGAAAAGGTCGCCGAAAATGGAGGGGCAGATTTTTGGTTAATTTCGCGAATACACGAAGTGGTTGTGGGGGATCGAACTTTTTCTAGCCGAGATTCTGCCGCTACTTCCGCGAAGAGCTGCCTTTTGGCTTCGCATCATGTGATCTCGAGATTTTTGGCTGAAAAAGCAGCCTGTAGGCAAAGTCGCGAGACAGCAGTCGATCTATACTAGGAGCTTCATGCGCCATTGAGACGACGGCTTTGAATCTCAGTTGGCTTTGGCTGGTATTTTTCTTATTACTCTCTTTTTTCTCCCATTCTATTCGTTCAAATCCCGAATCCATCACAGGGATCAATCCCCACCAGACGATCGATTTTCGCCTATCGCAAAGTCCCAGTCATCGCAAATATCTTTACTGCTTTTCGCATCGCCACATTCAACCATGAGCTGCCTTTTTCCTAGAGCGCTTCCTCTGAGGAGTTTGGGCCTCTGCCGACCTGCATCACAGACTCAAATCAGTTCCTTCGCATCAAGGCAATCCTTCTCATCCACCACCCAAGCAGCATCAATCTCAACCAAGCCCTTATCCGTTTCTGCTCGACAAAATCCCAATCAGAAGCTCAAGATTGCACCACAAGTGCGGCAACTGAGTCGCGCGCCTGTACCTCCCCCGACCAAGACTCCTGAAGAACTTGTTAGCCTGGGATATATAGTGCGCCGCACACCTTCCGTCCAGCTGCCCGTATATCGAAGATGGTTATCTGGTGGCACTCGTCAGGTAGTCTTGATTAAGAAGATCGACGGGGATCGAAGAAAGCTATTAGAAGATCTAGTCGGTAGCCTCGGCATCACTAGAGAAGAAGTACGGATCAACCCAACTACGCAACATGTAGAATTAAAGGTAAGGAACTTTTAAAGCCCGTACTACATGTAGTTAGTAAGAAGGCCGGAAGAGATGATTGCTAACAGCTCGTGCTTTTCTTTCAGGGAGACCATTTCGACAGGGCCAGAGGATGGCTACTGGACCGGGGTTTCTAAATCAGTGTGGAGGAATGGGGAAAATGGCATCGAGTAGAGAGGTTGGGGTGAGCATTGGCGAAGCTCACTTGTGTAACTGCCACATCTTATGGTTCCACATATATATGTACAACAATTCAATAAATGAATAATCCAGACCACCAAAAGAGGTATCAGTGTAATATGTAACATCCCTACTCCTATGTACACAGACGCCGCGGTAAGTACGCGAGAATTCCACCTTTCCAAGCCCGCTGATATTTAACACCCATGCACCATCGCAATTATGACGGACGGCTAAAACAAACATTATCAACCCCATACGTAACATTTACACGTTGATCATTGTCTCTCCATCCTCTCCCTCCTTTTTTATTCACTCTAGACCAAAGGACGCCCATCCCACGACGAATGCTCATTTTGAAAAGACCCTTTTGTGAAAGACAAAAACATCCAAAACCAGAATCTTAACCTGCTAGGCTCGTAATGGTTGACAAATGTTGTAATAGACCTTCTTTTGACCACTCAGGACTCTGCATGGATAAGGCTTCCAACAATGTTTGCGTGTTCGGTAAAAAGGCCCCCGCAGCCGCAATAGCAGGGTTGTTTGGATCTCTTGACTTTTCTACCAATCGCCTCAACAAAGTAACTGCGAGAGCAGAGATGTAGACAAGCTCAGGGTCTTTCCTGGGTTGACCCCGTCCCGCTCCTCGACCGAAAGCCTGTGGTTGTTCGTACATACGACTCAGCTCTTGGCCGAGACGGAAGAGGTTGTTTGCAAGCCCATTGCCCGCGGCCAGCCAGCTCCTCACAACGTGCGACTCTGCCCCAGGTGCCAGAGAGGCAATAATCTCGGCTGAAAGTAGCCCTTGCATAAGATAGGGCTTCCGGACTTCCACAAGCGAGGGGAAGCTTGTCGGTCGATCACGCTCCTTAACCTTGTCCGGTATCGGTGAAATTGCCAACGCAAAGGTGCGAGTAAGGAGTTCGTATGGAGGGTTGTTCGTAGCATCAATAGCAAAGAGATTTTTATAGTGGCTTCTGTTAGGCTCGTCACGAGCAAGCAATTTTGCCAGTGCATCGACAGCGTGAGGAAGATATGTGTGAACGCTCGGGTCGTAGTTGCTAAAGAAAAGAGTTTCACCGGTCACTACTGGGCTGGGAATCGGAGCGAATGACAGCAAGAATTGTAAAAGACAAAACGCTTGCTCCCGACCAGGAATTTCGATCGAGCTAGAAATATTGGAAAGGAGGATTACCACATCCTTCATGAAGTCAAGGGTGTTGTTATGAGTGCGAAGAAGCATGGTCCTTGTGCCGAGGTACCTGATAGCAGTACAAAGGAACTTGATGACAGATTCGTCAGCAAGCATATTGTGGTTATCATTCTGTTCGCCTGGGAAGGAGACATTGCGTAGGATAGTCGAGATACACACTAGTCGATCGACAGCTCTGTCAAGCTCATAGTCCTCGGTCCCGAAAGCAGGCACATCGCGAACTGCGAACCGCTCAATGCGGCATGCCCTGACAACTTCCTCGTACGAAGTAAGCTGGATGTCATCGGACACCTCCGCTGTGTGCTCAGTCAATAGCTCGAGCTGCTCTTCCGCACAGTCGATGAGTGCATCGACCAAGTCATCGCAATATCGTAGCTGCAAGAAATGTGCCTGGTTCAGTGAATGGGACACCGTCGCAAGCGTATCCAAAGCAAGGCGAACTTCCCCATGAATTCCACTTTGCAAGCTGCGTGTTAATGCAGATATGTCGATGTTGCCGAGGTCATTGACAGGTGGGACGGTGGGTTTCCACCGCTCTAGCTCCCCACCTAATAGATTAGCCGCATGGAGGTCGACACCACCATAGGTAGAAAGCTCCCGTGCACAAGGGTTATAGTCCTCGGATTTTGGAGGCAGTCGGGGCATCTGCTGCTCAGCACCCATCATACCCATCGACCTGGCATCGCCTGGGCCCAAGGGCATGCTCCCAGTTCTTGAGTGAGCCGGCGACGGTATTGAAAAATCATTCGGCCCAGCTGCATCGATACTGCGGGATAGACTGTTTCTGTTGTGGCCGGGTATAGCATTTGGTTGCTGAAGTTGCTGTGGGGTCTGCGGAGTAGAAAAGCCGTTGACAGCAGGCTGGCCAGGCTTCACAGGAGTGTGTTGTTGCGCATGAGGTTGAGGTGGTGGCTGTGGTTGTTGATGCTGCTGCTGCTGTTGTTGTTGTTGTTGTTGTTGCTGCTGCTGAAGAAGCTGCTGCTGCTGCTGCTGCTGCTGCTGCTGCTGTTGTTGTTGTTGTTGTTGTTGTTGTTGCTGTTGCTGTTGGTGCGCTTGCAGCATTTGTGCTTGATTCATCGGCTGCCCCTGTGGAATTGGTTTCTGCGGTGTGCCCTGATTCGCAAGGTTCACTTGTTGCTGCATCAACCTCTGTTTCTGCTGAGCCACCCAGGCCTCTTCAAACTTGAGTAAATTTCGTTCATAAATCTGCCTCAGCGCCAAGACGACGTTGGGGTTTTGCGCTTGAAGTCCCAAGATCTGGGCTAGGGCAGCCCAGCTATTCCCAGCGGTCAGCGCCTTCGAGCCGCCTTTTGCCTGTACAGCCTGGAAGAGGATCACCAGGCTAATGGGCCTGTCTCCAATCATGGGATTCGGATCTAGTGGGAGACCCTTTGCATGCATAAGTGTTGTGAGGTTCTTCATAAATTGTTCCGCATTGACACTGCCCGTAGGTCGGTGCTGGGGTCGCATTTGTCCCTGGGGACCTTGGCCATTCGGCACACCGGGCATCGGCTGCTTCCCCATCATTCCGCGCCCTATGCCCTGGGCCTGCATCTGAGCTTGCATTTGCATACCGCCTTGAAGTTGCTGTTGGAGTCGCATCTGGTACGCAGCCATTTTCCCATCCGGCATGGACTGCAGCCGCTGTTGCTGCGATTGGGCTGAGGGCTGCTGCTGTTGCTGCTGGTTGTGTTGTTGCTGCTGTTGCTGCTGCTGCTGCTGTTGTTGTTGAATCTGCTGTTGTTGCTGCATCTGAGCATATACATTACCTGGCATCTGACCCATCGGCTGCCCCATCTGATTCATTTGCTGGGCCATCATGGGATTCCCCGCCATGGCGTTCGGGTTTGGTGACGGACGCGAATTCGATGGCGATTGCGTGAAAGCCGGGTTGTAACCTTGGGCAAGGTTTTGCATGTAAGGGTTCGGCTGGGGAGTGCCGTGCTCCGAGGCAATAGGCGATGTCTGAGAACCAAACTGCCGGGCGCCTGGGGAAAACGGATGAGGCGAGGCCGTCGCCACCCTCTGAGGAACACTGCCCGGGCGCATTTGGTTCCCCATGATGGGTGAGGGGCTTGCGTTGGCCGAGCCGTTGGTCTGGAGATGCGAGAACTGGCCGGCGTTCTGCGGAGGCATGGCGCCAGGCTGGAAGCCCGGGAAGTTCTGCTGCTGCGGCGTTTCGGAGCGCGACGTCGGGAGCATGCCCGGATTCTGTCGGGGAGAGCCAGAGATGGAATCCTCACGGGGCCGCGGGCGTTTTGATGGAATAACAGAATTGGTCTGATAGACCTGGGATGCCTGGTAGCCCGCGGGCGAGGCGTGGCGCATCGGGCCGTTCTGCATAGCAGCCATCTGCTGTTGATTGGGAAACTGGGCGCCAGAGTTGAACTGGCCCGGGTTGGCCATGAAGGCGGACGGGTCCATCATGGCACTGGCGGCGCTGGGGTCATTCATGTGCGGGAAGCCGTTGCCATTGTGGTTCGGGACTGCGTCGTTCATCCAGGTGCTCATGGCGATGAGCCCGACAAGCTGTGCGCGGCGACGTCAGCAAATTCAGCAGGCACGGCGGCCAAGAGCCCATTGATAGGCGCAGGGATGGACGGAGACGGGGCCGTGACACGGCACAGTGGGTGGTTTGATGGACGACAACGTTGAGTCGCGTCGCGGGTTGGCGGAGAGAATGTATGTGGATGTGTGTGTGCGTGTGGTGTCGGGTGGGAAATGGCAGACGGAGGACGGACCAGCGAACAAAGGGCGCTGGCTGGGGGGGGGCTTCCTGGGCGGACGCTGCGCAGGTAGCACTAGCAATAGCAGGCAAGGCGCTGCGAGGTCAGCCTGGCCGGGCAGGCTGTTGGGCCACCTGCGTGCTGAGGCGCTGAAGCCAGCAGAGACCCGGGCGCCCAGGGAGGGGGGAGCGAGAACTCTCTAATCAAGGTACCTCGGCGGGCGGCGGCGAGTGCTAGCGAACGGACGTACCTTTTGATACCCGCGACGGGTCCGAGGGCGGTGCAAAGGGTGCTACTTGGTGCAGGAGATTTAGGGCGAAAAAGAGAGACGCCGTTGTATGGATACTTGCGCCCAGGCACCGCAGGATGTGTGCGCAAAGGTATCGGTACACCTGTCCTTCTATGAAATTATTGGCGACTTGTAGCGCAGGGGCAGTGAGAGCGCGTGCTGGAAGAGAGAAATTTTCGTTCCAGAGGGCGGATCGGCGCTGATGCAGTAACAGAAAGACACCTCAGCGGCACCCACGCAGCACCCAAGGCTCGGAAGCTCAGGGCAGAGGATTTCGCTAGCCGTCGCGATGCGATAGAGACAGATTCGGTATGTCGCCTGGGGGCCAGCAAAAAGCAAGGAGGTGCAGGCGACGTGAAGTGAATGGAGAGCCAGGTCTTACCTAAGGCGCGTTGAGGTGGATGACTGCGAGTCCTCGCTGGATTGGCAGCTTGGTTTCAGGCCGAAGTGAAATGCTCCCCTTGAAATGGCTAGCCGCTTGCGAGCTAGCGCTGACTGATGCTAGCGCACTGAGTGGATTCCTGGCCAATGAACGCGTCGCGTTAGTAGCGCAATAATGTTATCCGCTCGCTGCGTTAGTAATGGTGCAGAATTTGCAGCACCATCTCTAACAGCATGAGCCAAAGTCGTTATCAGCGCCTTATTGTTGCCGCACAAGTCGCTCATGTTCAAGCAACCGGCGCAAAAAAGGCCAGCTCCGACTAGGAGAGGATTTCCGACGAAGAAACCAAGCCTGATCCAGCCAAGAGGGGGTATCACATACACCACTAGACGGCTCATAATATCATGAGGCAGCATGCAGTGCTCTTTCTCTCCTCTCGCTGATGCAGGATGTTATTCCTGAGCAGATGCCATCGCCACGGCGTCAAGTGAAGCAAACCCAATTGATGCGCCAGCAGTCGCGGCCATATCCACCCTTTCGTTTCAACGGTTGCTCTCTTCTTCTTCGGGCTGCTTTGCTTTTTGTGTCTCTCTGCCCTGTGATGCGGCTATACACTTTAGTAAACCAGGCGTATGTGCATCGTGGTTGTTCGAGCTTCAAGTTGGGAGGCGATTGGGTCTTCCATGTAAGAGAGCTGAAAGCAGCCAAGGTCAATCGAGCAACCATTTACCTCCGGATGCACCTTTTTTTGATACCAACTTTGGCTCCAGCATATAGGCACATAAGAAAATGTTCTTCATCTATACCTGATCTGCAGAGCAGAAGCGTCGAATATGGCCACAAAAGTCGTTTTCCATGCCGGTAATTTGATAACGTGTACCAAAGCTGCAGCCCAGAATGGGATACCTCTGTATCTGTTTGTGCTAATGTAGCCCTTGTCCCATATACGTTGGGAAGTCAATTTGAATAGATGTGTTGAGGGCAGTCCAAAACACTCATTCTCGGCCAAGCTCTTCATTCATCAGGGCGCTGAACCAATGGATCGTGCTGCATCTTGGACGCCCTCCAGTCCCACCACTCAGCTTGCTTTCGGTGTTACTTCCCGCAAGCTTCTGTGGCCCTGCTCAGATCAGGAATCGACTGCACGCTGACCGGAGCAGCCCCACCTCAAGCCACGAACCAGGCTTTGGCGGTCCAAAGCATTTTGTTTGGCTGAGACGCTCGCTTCACTCGATTTGCTCTTTGCAGCCGCCAAGGCCTTCGGCGGGATCAAAGCTGAGCAAATCCAGCGTCTTTGCGCACCAGCAAGTGGACTTGGCGCCGGTCTGCTCCAAAGCCGCGACGGGGATGGAATGAATCCTGGGGTCGTCGTGTCGCCTTGTGACACCGTTTGATGCCGCTGTCCAGTCTCCACAGGGTCAGCCACCCCTGTCACAGCGCACGCTCTGATGGCGGCCAGAACAGCGCCGCTGGGCCATAGTCGAGTCTCTCAAGGGCCCCTCCGACATGACCGGTTCCCGCATCGGCGACGAATTTCTGCTGCTCATTGTGTTTCTCCCGAGGGCAAATCCGTGCGTTGGCGAGGCCTTTTAGCCCATTTCCTCTGTTGCTGAATTGCGAGTCGCTGCCTCTGCACTGCAAATGTTTTCGCTGGTCGCTATTTCTTTTCCGATTGACACCAAATCGTGGGGGTCCTCCACACAGGCTGGGTGAGGTAATCAGGTCCAAGCCATGTAAGTGAGCCCGTGAGGCAGAGAAGAGCCACGCATGGCAACGCACGAAGAAAATGGCATCGAAGACGAGCAAAAAAGGGCTGCCGAGAGGGGAAAAGAACGAGAGAACGATTGAAAATGGGAAGAAATCAGGCGAGGAACGGGGGAAGGGGGGGTAGTTATGGGTGAGAGAGGCAGAGGCCTAATAGCCTGCCTACCATCTGGTACCTACCGCCTGGGACCTGGCATTGCCATGGCCATTAGCTCCAGGCCTACAGGTACCTATTGCGACCTACTACGCCTACTAACGGTGCCTACGGCAGCACACGCATAAAGCTGGCACACGATTAATGACGCCGCCACTGATAGCATCAGCACCCTCGCTTCAGGCCGTCATCAGCCGTTGCACCAGGGGTAGGCTTGGAAAGAGGAGCAGAAGAGAGGATAGAGGTTTTTTCACTGCCTTTCCACGGCTCGTCTACTCGAGTTCTCTGCAGCCCAAAGGAGGATTGCCAGCCACTTCGCCATATTCGCTCATTCTAGTGTCCTGGAGCCCGTGAATTGCATCGGAGGTCATTCACCCCCACAGCGCAGCACGTATCACGTACCGAGCGTATTATCGCCCAACCGACTACCACCAACCGCCTGCCTCGCTCGGCGCACCCTCACCATTTATTTCTCTTGTCTGTAAGAAAAATGGCAGCGAAGGAAGAGTCACGAAATCAATAAAGAGGCATGAAAGAAAGTATGATGAAAGCAGCCAAAGCACAAGAAGCAAAAGCAAAAAGAAAATCGACAAGTGGAGCTTTACTTGACCGCGATGCCAGGCAAAACGTGCTCCGGCTGTTCTCGCGAGCCCGCTGCCTTTAATTGGTGTGCGTCTGTGGAAGCACCCTCTGCTGATCACAGCTTGTTGGCTCCCGCCTAGTCCATCACCACCTGCGTCACAGACGAGAAGACGGTCTCACGCTTATCACCGCCTCCATGGCGAATTGCTAGCAGCTCTTCATCTATTTCACTTGCAGCACAGGCTTTGAGAATCCAAGTCGCTCTATAGGACCCCAATTTCCCCCCTCCTTTTCTCGTTGCGGCCTTTTGGGCTGATTGGGCTAGCTGTGTGTGCCATCATGCGTGGCCTGGGCTGGCCGCCGAGCCAGGCTCTCCCGCCATTCCCTTCTCTTGCCACCCACATTAATAAAAATTGGAAAGCAAAAGGAAAAAGGAACAAGAACTAGGTGAGTTGGCTACATATGTCCAATCACGCCGTCGCTAAGCCATTGTCCCCCGGGCATTCGTTTCTATTTGACAGAGAGATTCAGCCCTTTTGGGGGCCGCGGTTGGCGCTGCCGGAAACGGCACAGAGCTTGGACTCAACAAGACGCTGCTGCATTGCATTGGCGGCATCTCACAGAACACTATGAAACAGCAAGCTGATTGCGACGTGAGCCTGACTCACAAAAGGCCCCGACTGCGAAAACGTGTCTTATGACTACCTTGTTTTCTCTTCTATTCGAATGTAAGGTTATCTCAGCGAGTTTCGACCGGGGAAGCGGAAAGTATAGCTGGAGGCTAGAGACAAGGCCTCGGCGCTAGCAAGAGGGCTTTGACGTTCCGAAACTGTTTGCTACAGCTACTGCTGCCATCAGCCGAGATTACCACTGTCACGCTTCGCTTTGTGCCGCACTCCAAGGTGTCCAGACCTTTATTTCTTTCGAGCAGCTGAGAGAGAAATGAAGACAAGACAGAGCAAGCTCCGCAACACGGCACCATGGGAAGTGGAATCGTGGGCCTCGGAACTAGACGAGCAGCAACAGATCCCTTCACCGTCTGCGGAGACGTGAATTATCATCCAATCCGAGAGGATCACACAAGCTGTCTGTCATCGACGAGCCGACAAGTTTGTGCTAGACGAACGTCTGCGAGCCCAACAATTCGCTCATCGTCAAAAGTGACGGCCAGGGTTGAGTATCCAATCGTCCAGGCCCCCCCGCATGCCACCAACATGGCCTAATCTGCAGGTTCTTTAAATACATCGTTGCGCCTTCTTCAAAGCATTGCTTGCCATTGTTTGACATCCCTGATAATCTGCAGCTGAATATGTACGATCTGTATGGACTGCCACTCCTCCTCCTTAATGCCCTTCCATATATTGCAGTCGCTCCTTGGTCAAACAAGTGTAAGCAAGAGTGCGAACGGTGGCTGCGTTAGGAAGGTTTGTACAAAATTGAAGTGCTGCGTATAAATTGCGGGTTTTCGCAAAATCTGTATGCAGGGCAGCGTGGCCCGTTGATTGAGCATTAGTAGGTCATGGTGCTCGCAGGCCCAATAAACGCGCCGCATCACCCGCCTATGTACGCTGCGTATCAGTCACAGTATCCGCATGCCCATTCATCCCGTCTATTCGCTGCCTGGGCGCCGATAAAATGGTCTTTGCAAGCAGCCATTTCTCCCGGCTATAATATCCAGTCCAGCTGCCTATTGATGCCTATCTCTCCTCCAAGCTCTGACGGGAGCCGGAGTGTGGTGTGTACGGGAACTAATGCTCGTCGAGTATTAGCTGCACACCATAAAGGCGTTATACCTGACAGCTTACTTAAAACCGGCTGCATTGGATGCGTCGCAAGGTGTTACGGAAACCCCAAATGACTGAGGAATACGATATCTCACCTAAGCTAAGAGGAGGATTCCTCAAATGAGCATGAGCAATAGGAACGCGGCCATTTCCTATGTATTCTTGATACTCCTTGTCATCGTAGCTGTATCTTCCCCTACTACGTGCTTAGACAGGGGTAATGGCTTAATGATGCGCTTGGCCTTTGTTTGGAATAGCCTGACAGATTTCCTGCAACGGCCTCTGGCATCTACCTAACTCCATATTCCAACACACATCCAATGGGATCTTCAAATCGTCCAGCACAGCACAGCATCAATCAAGCGCACATATACCACGCAAGCTATTGGGCAAAGAAATGTATTAGAAAAGCAGATGCCACAAAGTTTTTTTAATGACCCATATTGACCGAAAGACAAACAACGCAAATGCTTGGTGTAAGGTGTAGGGTAGCATAATTAATACAAGTCTAGTTCGCTGCGCTCGCACTCAGCTTCTCTTTAGTACGCTCTAACACCGTCCTCAGAGCTTGGTCCAGGCCCTCCAGCTGCAGATATTCGTCTATCCAAGCAATAGTCTTCTTCTCCAACGCTGCTCTATTCGTAGTGGTCTCCAGGTATGATCCCAGTCGCTGCAAAACTGTCCCTAAGCTTCGGGGGAACTCTGCCGCGAATGCTGAGACTCCCAAAAGAGGCTGTCTGATATGGAGGTTGCAGGTAGAAGGGTCGTTAGGATAGTGCTCATCAAGGGCATCTAGGACGTGCTGAGATATCCGTGGCTGGACCGAGAGCTTCTTAAACGACACGAACATTATGTAGAACTGCTCTCCGACTTCGGGCTTGAAAAAGGGCTGTCTCCGTGATATATCGAAAATGGCCATGGGGATGGCGCCGTTCATGGCGGGGTTTGACTGTAGCTCTTGCGTGGCCTGTTCGTCAATCACCTTTGCCTGCGCCTTGGATGGCTCCGGAAGAGCCAAGTCCTCATCCTCGTCCTCTTCATCACTGCCGAGCAAGAGGAGCTCATCGTCGTCATTTTTAGGGCGTAGAGCCGGTACTTTCTCCCCCTTTGCCTTCTTTCTCTCAATCTTGTCCAGCCACTTCATCTCGCATCTTGCATACTCGAGCCAGAGAGTGCAGTCCGAAGAGCAGAACCGGCATCCTCTCATGAAGCAATTCCTTGCGGACGCCATATCCCCGTTATTTGCGAATCGGTTCGCCGCCATCACCCACATCTCGGGGTCCTTGGGTAGCATTCGAAGAGCCCTGGTCATGGTCTTGCGCCAGCGTTTTGCGGCGTTGACCTTGGCCATATACGTAAGGTATTCACGCCACAGCGCGCTGCTTGCGGGATGCCTCCCAACGCCCCTGTCGTAGATTGACAATACACGAGCTTGGCCGGCGTGCGCAGAATTGAGATTGCGCAGTTTCAGACGCTGGCAGCGCTTGGAGCGGAGAGACTCGACAGATTGCTCCCATTGTGCGTAGGACGACCACTCTAAGGGGGTGCTCCCGGGGGAAAGCACCCTGTGTTCGAAATCGTTTCGCTTTTGGACAATTGATCGAATTTCGTCCTTGATCACTGGATGTTAGCTAAACTTGGCAATGAAGATTGGCTGCTGCCCTCTCTCACCTTGGAAAAGATCGACTTTTCCTCCCATTCTCGCAGCTGGGGCACCGAGCGTTCGAGGAAGAACCTCGCCTTGTCCGCGACTCCGGCCATGTTGAGTACAGCCTCACCCTTAGAGAAATTGGAGCTGCTGTTGCGTGTGTCCAAACAATGTCTGCGGCGGATGTTCGCCGAAGTTTTTCACGAGGCTGCCAAAAGTTTAGTGGAGCCTATTTGAAGCAAAAAGTTTAGCGTTATTTAGAGGGTCCCTGCTCTTTTCCGTCATCATGGTGGCTAGGCCTAAGATCCATCGACTTGTACGGGGACTAGTCTCTTTTTGGTTCACGGACCTCGCTCGACTGTAATCGTCCGAAGCCAGCCCAAAACAACGCCGCGGCTGTGTAGGCTCGTATATATCGTTTGATGCCAGGCATGAATTAAAGACTTCAGGTAAAAGTCCTGATTAACTCCGGATCAACTCCTGAGTTAGTAAAGACTAAAAGAAGATTTGATCGAATGATTAAATCAGCGTTGTTGGCCGTGCTGACTTCACGTGTAAGGCAGTCTATAGCGATATGGATGCTCTTTGCCGAAAGCAGACTAGTGGGCTGTACATTATTAAACGTTTAGGTGAGAGGAAATTTGGGGCTCAACCACAAAAAGCTCGCGCCGAGACGTGTTCTCACTATCCAATCCTTGTCATCCCCACAGAGAGCAGGGCACAGGGGGGTAAGTCGCCTGTTGACACGATCGCGACAGGCCCTCGGCACGGGCGACTATAAATCCAATCTCTTATGATTTTTAATTCCCCTCATCCAACTCCCACCAATCTTTATTTCCGGATGCTCCGGCCGCTCTCTTGATCGCGACCTCTCATTCATTCCCTTTGTCGCGATGGCGTCGAGATACAAGGACAAGGACGGCGGCATTGTCCTCAGCTTTAACGGACAGTGGGTTAGCTGGGCGCATACAGCCGTAGCTTACAGTAAGTCCGATCGCCGCGGAATTGAAGCTGTGGACGGGCTGCAAAGTCCTAGATTTGCGCAGTCAGAAGCTGATTTTGCATTCGAAAAACTCGCGCAGCTGCATTCATCAGCGCATTGATAGTCGGCGTTTCGTTGCATTACCACAAGATCGTACAAAATGAATTCTATGGATACCCTGATGAGTGGTTCCCATCTGTCTCTGCGACGATCGGCGATCGATATCCGGAGCGCTCGTTCTTTATGATTTTCATTGCCATCACATCAGGTAGAAGCGACCTTGCAGCGCCATGACTCGAGAGGAAGCTGACTTTTTGAATTCGTTTGATCTGCGCAGGGCCTCGTTTTGCGCTCGTTGGCCTGTGGTACCTTTTAACTCGTAGGCCCAATTCGAAGCTCCCCGGTTTTGTCGCATCCATGGGCTTGCTGCGAACCTTGACTTGTGGCGGCTGGACGTACATTACATCTACGGACGACCACGATTGGCACGATATTCTCATGATATCCTACATCGTTTGCACTCTACCGTGGACGACTGGCTGCATTGCTCTAAGCCCGCCGAATCCCTCCGCAATCCAATGGCGCAAGCGCCTGGCGGGTGCCTTTTTTGGAACTCTGGTGCCTTTGATCTACTTCTTCATCCAACACAAAGTGCACCGCATAGCTGGAGGTATATATGGCCCTTCTTCAGTCGTGGATGAATGAATGCCGAACCGGAAACTAACCGTGAGCCAGCTTATACCACGTACGCCTTCTTCGAGTGGGCATTGATTCTCTTCGACGTGGCTTTCGATGCGGTTACAGCCCTCGATTTTAATACCTTTGAGATTTCGGTGCGGGATGCCAAAGGGACGAGCAAGGGGTACGTGCAATGGCTCCCCAAGTAGAATGCTGTTCTTTTTATGCGAAATTGTGTTCAATATATCTATTCTACAAGAAAAAACCTCTAATAAGTCCCGCTTTGGCAGTGAAAACTACTCCTCTGTCCCATCTGCAGTTCTGGAGAAAGAGTAAGTCTTTTCTGTGTGCTGAGAGACAACTTCTGCATTTGCTTACGAGCGACTCTATCTAGAAAGGAGCAGATTACTGGAGGCTTTTTCTCTATCCGATTCACTACTGCGGATGCTCTCGATACTGCTGCCAGCGTTTACCATGGAGTCAGTTACCTTTGATGCACACTATTATATATGACTCTGTGGAGCTAACGTCTTGGCAGTTTGTCTTTTGGTCAATGCTTACTAGTCTTGGTCTCGTCGTGTGGTGTAAGATTCCAATTCTCTCTTGCTTTTTATGAATTGACCCCTGTCCTGACACGCATTAGACTTCCCGCTATGGCATATGGGCATTTCCGGCTTCGAAGCCTTTGTTATGGTGACTATCGCACCAGCACTATTGGGACTTGGGCTCGTTCGATCTTTTGTTGTCAACAACCTGAGACTCATCCATCTTTTGTCGCTATCTGGAGTTGCCGCGTATCTCGTCCTTGACCCAGTGCTTCGACTGTGCGCCGTTGGACTTGGTGTCGGACTCTCATGCCTTGGATGGGCCAGCTCTTTGCACGCGGACTCAGTCCACAATGTTCGGCTCGAGAGCAAGCTGCTTGGATGGATGATTGGCTTGATCCTATCTTCTACCATGAAGTTTGCGTGGACCACGAACAACCCTATCTGGCCCATCATGCATGCCGAGAATGGCGGATGGAACGGTACTGGACTCGTACTAGGAATTCTCGCTGCCCTCCGGTTCACAAGGAAGGGCCCACTTACTGGTTCTCTCGCGGAGGAGCCAAAGCAACAAGGCTCCAGCCTCCTTGCTGCTCTCGGCGTTGGCGGCCTGTTCTTTGGTTTGCATTCGCTGTTGTCTGATACAAGTACAATGATTCTCTGGGTATGGGAGGGTTTCCCAATCCGCGGCCCGTATTTCTCTACACACGGCTGGTTTACTGTTGCTGCTATGTCTGCAGGCATCTTCCTGGGTATCAATAGACCCGGCCTCGCAGGAAGCTGGCCCCAATACGCGGTTGGATTCATCAGTGCCATGATCCTGACCTTTTTCAGCCACTGGTTCGGTTTCTATGGTGGCCTCGGTCTGGCAGCGTATCTCATGGCAGTCTCCGTTCCACTGATTTCCAATGCCGCTAAGAAGAACCCAGCGGTTACATTTGGGCTGGGCTTTTTGGTATATAACTTCGTGGTCTTGTTCCACGTATGGGTTGTTGCCTACGCATTTGTGCCCGGAGGTCCGCTCGTTCGAGAGCGTACTGACTGGGTGATGCTTACCATGATGTTCTTGATTGGTGCCGGCGTGTATGATTTCAACACATCACAGCCGCGCTATCAGCCAGCTCGCCGCTCATCCCCCTCGCAGCACAAGAAGTATTTTGGTCTCTCAGCCATCATCGTCAATGTCCTATTCATGTGTGCAGCGTTCAGACGATTCCCCACCAATGATTATAAGCCGTACCATGCTGAGGATCGGATCCTCACGGCGGGCATTTGGACGATACACTTTTCTCTGGACAATGATATGTGGTCTTCTGAATACCGCATGCGGGATTTGATCAAAGAGATGGAGGTTGATGTCATTGGTCTCCTGGAATCAGACCTTCAGCGTATCATTATGGGCAACCGAGACACGACCCAGTTCCTCGCCGAAGACTTGGGCATGTATGTTGACTACGGCCCCGGCCCCAACAAGCACACTTGGGGTGCTGCCCTTCTATCCAAGTTCCCCATTGTGGAATCCAAGCATCATCTCCTGCCTAGCCCAGTGGGTGAGCTGGCACCGGCAATTCACGCTACGTTGGATGTCTACGGCCAACTTGTTGATGTCTTCGTTTTCCACTCTGGCCAGGAGGAAGATCCCGAAGACCGACGTCTTCAGTCTGAGTATCTTGCAAACCTCATGGGATCGACGGATCGGCCAGCTTTCTTACTTAGTTACCTGGTGACAGAGCCACTCGAGGGCAACTACAATACCTATGTGAGCGACACCTCGGGCATGCACGATGTTGATCCAACCGACTGGGACCGATGGTGCGAATATATCTTGTTCAAGAATATCAAGCGAGTTGGCTACGCGCGTGTCAGCCGAAGCACGATTACCGATACCGAGCTTCAGACCGCGAAGTTTGTTATTCCACACTCGGACGCTGAGATTCGAGAGCTAGCAGCTCAGTCTGCCGAGGATCGCGATCATCGCGTAGAGGAAGGGGAGGTTCCTGAAGGATGGCGATATCCCGCCATGTTTAGAGGAGATGGAGTAAGAGATCATCGATACCACGTCTTTGACGAACCACGCTACTTCAACTAATTTCTGTACCGGCGGGGAATTGTATACTTGTCTGGACGGAGTTATTTGGCGGTTGTACGGCGGCTGTCTTGGGCTTTTCTTTATTGTTGTTCTCCTCTTCGCTGGAAAGAGCGGAAGGGGGAAAGGGAAAAATGGATTTTGATACGGAAAATGGGCTGTAACTGATTAATGATCATCAGGGGCATATACTTTTTGTCATATAACCTGTGTACTTGTAGAAATAATTTGTGTGAATTTGTAAAATCAATACTACTTCGTACTTTACATGCAGCGAGGACAGGCACATGTACAAGGCATATAGGTGAGATCACGCGATTTCCGGCTCCCATATTCCGTAGGCCTACTTTGTAAGAATATGCTATTTATTACTGGTCAACTCACCTACAAGCAAACAATCCTGCAATGCTACTTACTCGATTAGGTGAGTAGATGGACGCAGCCAATCGTTGGGCGAATAGGCAGACATTGGATCAGGTTCCTGGCGGAAGTTTCGCCTTCCCCCCACAGTATCTAGCTCTCCGGCATATCCTTGCGGTGTACGGAGAGCCTATTACGACATGCTCATACACTGTATGGACAATCAGTGATACGAACAGAGTAAGCAAAATGTCCCGCGGCAAGTTCTCACTCCACGGACACCGCAGAAGCTCCACTCGAGCCCGGACCGATAAAGTGGAGAGTGGAGAGAGGATCGAGGAAGGCCCTCGCAATCTTTGGATACCGGCGGCACGACTCGGCTCCGCTTTATGCAGATACGCAGTACAGGAATCGCAGAAAGTCGATATCGAGGAGCGGAAAGGGAGCGGAATTGGTTCCAAGGCGCGGCTTCAGTCGCTTCATTTTTTTCTTCTTCTATCTCGATGCTTGCTAACCTTGTGATTGTTTCTGATTATGCAGATTGCTAAGATGGGGAATTTACAGAGGGGTGAAAGCATTTCTAATAGGCATTTTGATTTTCTTACGGCTTATCGGGCGATGGGCGGAGGTGACGGTGTGTTTTGCTCATGCTGCTCTCTGACATGTACAGTGAAGGTTTAATGTCTGGCTAAACCCCTTTCAAAATCCCATTCCAGTAGAGATGTGAGGATCAAGCCAAAAGGATAAAAAAAAAACACTTGAAACTCATGACCTCAAAGTGGCGACGTGGTTAGCAGTTGGTTGGGGAAAAAAAAAACGAGCATTGATTCCAAGTAAGCGGACCTCGGGATTGGGATGGACGTCTGTCTTACTTGCTACAAAGGCCAATCCAATCCAGGTCCAGAAACAGAGGCGGGACAAGCAATCCCAGATCTGAGATGGCGCTCCAAAGCTCCAAGCTGCCCCTCCACAATTGACTCGTAATGCCGGTCTCCCTACTCGCTGCAAAAAAAACTTCCCTTATCTCGTCTTGGCGCTTACTTTTTTCTTTTCTGCTTGACTGCTCGTTTGCGTACAGTATGTATGCACACAGCCTTTTGCTCCCCCCGCACACCGGACGCCCGGGGTTCGCGTCAGACGCTTAATTGGAAGCGTTTCCCCGCCGAAGCTAAGCGGCAGTAGGGCTGATTCGAGCCATCCCATGTCATCAGCTTTGGCAGCAAAAGCCTGCATCCGGGGCATGTTGGACGAGACAATCGATAAGCCTCTGCGGCGTGTGTGCCGTGGAAAGCCGATGATGCAAGCATTCAATGGGCTGTGAATAATGCTGGAGAACTGGGGTAGCTGTTTGATAATACTTAACTTCTTAATGGCGGCGGGCTAGTCGGGATTCATGAAGCTTTTTTGGGTGCAATATGGGGTTTGCTATTCGGGGCAGGCTGTGAATAAAGTGTGTTTCTTTTCCCTCTTATTTCTTTCTTTTTCCCTTTCCTCTGTCTTTCTTCCAATCGTCTTTTTTGTCTTTCTGGGTAGAGTTTCACATACGACCAGTGGATGGTTTGAACTCTGCAAAGATGTTGCAATCATTTAGCCTACAACATGTTCTTGCATGGCTAGGGATTCTGCTTGGCGGCGGAGTCTTCTATGTAAGTTCTTTGACGCTGTAGAATGGGGAGGATGTGCAATACAGAGCTCTACGCCGTGTAGAAATTGCGAAATAAGAAGCTCTGGCAGGCCCTGAAAGTCCGGTGGTGCTAACATGGAAATCTAGGTCTTTGCCATCATCACCTACCGCATTTTCTTCCACCCTCTTGCAAAGTACCCGGGCCCTCTCATCGCAAAGGTCACAGATGCCTACCAGCTCTACTACGCCTGGAGGGGCGATCGCCACCTTCAGTTCTGGCGTCTGCACCAGAAGTACGGTAAGATACATCTTATAAAATGAACGCTGAAATGAGACGGCGAGAGTCGCGACTAACATACGCTGTTTCGCAAAGGCAAAACCGTCCGCTTTGGCCCCAACTCCCTCTCATTCAGCACCAACCAGTCGCTGCAGGACATTTACGGCTTCAAGGCCAACGTCCGCAAGTCCGAGTTCTACGACTCCTTTGCCCACCCCGTGCACAACACGCACAACACTCGCGACAAGGGCGTCCACGCCCGCAAGCGCCGCGTGCTCTCCCACGCCTTCTCCGAGAGCGCCATGAAGGATATGCAGCGATTCATTCTCAACAATGTGCGCTTGTTCTGCGAGCAGATTGGCATCGAGGATGGCGGCGCCGACTCCAAGGGCTGGACTCAGCCGCGAAAGATGGATGACTGGTGCAATTACCTGGCCATCGATGTCCTTGGTGATCTGTGCTATGGCAAATCATTCCGCATGCTGGAAAGCGAGGACAACCGCTTTGCCCTGGGCTTGGTCGAGGCCGCCACCACCAGACACCTTGTTGTAAGTCAATGATGCTCTACGATGCGAATTGTGAAAAGACATTTGTTAATCATGAGAACAGTGCGGTACTATGCCCATCGTCAACAACCTCGGACTCGACAAGTACATGTTCCCTGCTCTGGCCGCTGGACGTGCTCGCTTCATGGCCTACAGCAAGGCCCAACTGACGGAGAGAACTAAGCTTGGTGAGGATGCGGACCGTCGCGACTTCTTCTGGTACCTCCTCAAGGCTCGTGATCCCGAAACTGGCGAGGGCTTTACTACTCCTGAACTCTGGGCTGAATCCAACTTGCTGTAAGCTTTTCTCCATACCTTACATACACTGGTGAAGTTAATGCTGACTTGTAAAATAGCATCATTGCCGGATCTGATACAACCTCCACTGCCATGGCCGCTACCCTGTTCTACCTTACCCGCAACCCCGCGGCCATGAAGAAGGTTGTCGAGGAAATCCGAGGCAAGTTCAACGACGTCGAGGAGATTGTCCAGGGCCCTGCTCTTTCATCCTGCTCCTACCTCAAGGCTTGTATCGACGAGGCTATGCGCATGTCTCCCTCTGTTGGCGGTATTCCTCCTCGGGAGGTCATGGCTGGCGGTGCCACCATTGATGGCGAAGTGCTTCCCGAAGGCACCGTCGTCGGAACTGCCCACTACAACATCCACCACAACGAGGCCTACTATCCCCAGTCATTCACCTATGTCCCTGAGCGCTGGGTTGCCGGCGACATGAACCCCATCACCGGAAAGCCAACTACCAAGGAGGAGGTTGAGAGGGCACACAGCGCTTTCGTCGCCTGGAGTCTTGGACCCCGTGGATGCATTGGCAAGGCTATGGCCTATGTTGAAATGACCCTGTCTCTTGGCCGAGCTATCTACTTGTATGACATGCGACGAGCCGTTGGTGTCCAGGACATCTCTGAAGGCCACCCAGACCTCGAGTTTGGACGACACCGCGAAACTGAGTTCCAGCTGAGGGACATCTTCACCAGTGGCAAGTGCGGACCTCTTGTTGAGTTCCGACGTGCCGAGAAGGCTTAAATTTTCACTTATGGCTTCATGTACTTTATGACGTTGTTGGATGGGATATCGATGACCAACTTTTTTTTGGATATGACTTGTATTGACAAAGGAAACTGAGATCGCGTGGAGATGACAAGTGCGAAAGAACATATACAGAAGCATGCAACTGTCAAGGCTCATGCGAGGAAATAAAAACTAAAAGAGACAGAAAAAAACTCAATAAAAACTGTTTAAATCAAAGACTTCATGATTGTATGCAACGTGAGTACGAATAAAAATTCTTGTAGATGTGCTACGTAGATTTCATCAACATTGGAGATCGAGCAGTCTGTATGTATAAACCTGTCTTACTGCCTAGAGCAAAGGGACGCTACAGTGGACGATTACGCTGTGATTGGCCGGTGTCTTTATTTTAGGCGCTGGAAGGCCGCTAAGTTGCCCAAGGCTGCACAAGGCTGCCTATCTTAGCACCTGCCTCTATTTATCTTCCATCGCCGGGCTTCAACCACTTCAACGCATCATTTTTTCCCCTCCTCTATTCTCGCGACACCGCCGTGACTTGGCGTTGAACAGGCGGCCTTTCGCGATGGCATAGCCGCTGCGATTACTTTATAAATATCATCCCACGCCGATTGCCTACCATGGCGCTATGCAGATTCTTCCAGCAGGGCTACTGCAAGTTTGGCAGTACGTGAACTTCCGACCGACGTCCCGATTCAGCTTGCTTGAGGATTAGATAGTGCAATGCTTTTTTGCCCGATGTATCAATTTCAAAAAGAGCTTAGCGAGATCGTCTAGGGAAGATGCTAATTGTAATCTGCCTTAGATAGTTGCCGATTTGAACATGTAAATCCTGGTGGTAACCGCAACCAGCCCTCCTCCAACCGCTTTGGAGCTCCCGGAGGAAACAACTCTAGCGGAGGCGATGCCACGTTTTGTAAGGCTCTTGACTCCGAATTCGCCCGAATAAAGCTGACTTTTATTAAAAAACAAAGCAAAGTACAATATATCGCCCGATGTCATTGAGAAGGACTTGACGACCGAAGCACCGCAATGGATCCTCTCGGCCTATGCCCCGGGGCGAGACGCTCCAGACCAGCTCTTTGGAGGATACCCTCGTGAACAGAGTTTTGAAGAATTAAGGCTCCATTATATGGTCGGAAAAGCATCAGGGAACGAGCAACAAGCTGTAAGTCATCTCGACTCTGCTGCATTCGCTTACATCGCATGGTCATGGAGCAATGCAATCGAGAGTATACTAACCCAAGGCACCCAGTTGACCGAAGCGCAACAACTATGGCAAAATGCGAAGCAGCAGATGGAAAATGCGGCGCGAAATCCGAACGAGGCGGCACAATTCATCGTTGGAGGAGAAAACCGCCATCCGAATAGACTTGATATATGCAGGGAAGGAACACAAGGCGCGCCGTTTGGAGAATTTCTGGTTGGAAAGAGACCGAATCCAGCGGTAAACGCATTTGGAGGAAATACTTCTATGGCGACGACGACAAGTTCTTTTGGGCAGCCGTCTGCGCTGGGACAGGCATCAAATCCGTTTGGCGCGCCTTCGCAACCTACGTTTGGCCAGCCATCTCAGCCCACATCAGCATTCGGACAACCGACCCAGACAACGTTGGCCTTTGGCCAGCCATCACAGCCAACATCAGCTTTTGGCCAGCCGTCTATGCTTGGGGCCAAGCCTAGTCCATTTGGTGCTCCAGCGTTTGGCCAAGCACCCCAACCAAATACCCAGAGCAATCCATTTGGCCAGCCACAGGCACAGCAGACCCAAGGAAGTGCTTTCGGCCAAACCAGCCAACTTGGCCAGAAGCCGAATCCATTTGGGGCTTCGACGACTGCAGCACCGAGTGGTTTTGCCTCAGCAGGCAACAACGCTACGCCAGCTGCCAACCCCTTTGGCGGCTCAAGTGCTAGCCAAGGCGGCACTACATCAAGTCCTTTTGGATCAACCCCCACGAACCAGCCTAACAACGCTCCTAATCCCTTTGGCCAGCCGACAACTTCAACCGCCTTTGGAAAGCCATCTGCTCCTGCCGCCAACCCATTTGGAGCCGCACCACAAGGACCAGCATCAAATGCTACCAATCCGTTTGGCCAACAGCCTTCCCAGCAGCAGTCGGCATTTGGGGCACCGACAAACCAGAACTCTGGAACGAGCTTTGGGCAGAACAATGCAGGTTCATTTGGACAGCAACAACCCAATGCAAATCCATTTGGCCAGCCTCAGGCAAATGGTGCCCCTTCTCAACCCAATCCGTTCGGTGCGAATCAGCAGCCCCAAGCAGCCGCAGGTGGCAACAACCCCTATCCCCCGAGTAGTAAAAGACAACATCCACCTGTCGAGAGCTATAGTTCAAAGTCAATGGATGGACGGCTTGTTCAATTCAAAGGGAAGCCCGTCACTTATAAAGATGGTCAACCTGGTATCAAGGAATTCAACGGTACCTGGACGCGAATATGGTTCCCCAACGGCCCTCCAGGATACAATAGGGACACTGAACTAGCTCTGGAGGAATACAGCGACACAGTAAAGGCGCAATGGAATAAATTTGGACAGACAGGAACATTTGCCGATGGGCTAATGCCAGAGCTACCGCCACCACGAGTATGCACTCGTTGGGACTTTTAACCAGCTTGGATCGAACGACATACCTAACACTGTTGGGGCTCAAATGGATATGGAATGAAAGGGGATATGATCAAACAGATTAATACGGCGTTTATCGATATGGTTTCGTGTTCTATATATAAGGCAGATATTGCAGGGCGTTTAGCCGGCTTCGCTACTACTATGACTGGATTTTTTTCCGCAGATTTGAATTCGCGAATTTAGTTTGAGAATACGAATACTATGAAGAATGGATTATGCATGTCATATGAGAGAGACAGTCACGATTGTTGCAAATAGGAGAGACAAAAATGTATGTCGTAAACCAGTTTATTGTTAGAAGCCTATCGGAGTCGAGAGAGGGTTTAATTTCTCCCAACGTCAAGGTATCGGTCACTCCAACGTCTTTACGATATTGGAAATTCGCTTAAGCAGCAATGGTGACCTCAACCTCGACACCAGCGTCGATGTTGACAATGATCTGCTTGACGACCTCGGTGGGGGCGTGGAGGCTGCAAAGATGATATGTTAGCGACAAAGAGTCTTTGACAACACCAATGAGTCCAGAATGAGGAAGCAGGAGACGTACTCGATGAGACGCTTGTGGATGCGCATCTCGAAGCGGTCCCAGGTCTTGGAACCCTCACCGCAAGGGGTCTTGCGAGGAGTGACGGTCAGACGCTTGGTAGGCAGACGGACGGGGCCCTTGGCGCGGAGGTCCTTGTTCTTAGCACGGTCGATGATCTCGGTGCAGACCTTCTCGAGAACCTGGACCTTGCGGGAAGAAAGGGTGATGCGGATCTTGTGGCTCTTCTATAGCAATTGGACAATAGAGGTTAGCTTCTGGCTCTCCTTTCTCCTTCTCGAGATGCGATCATAGGTATAGCAGTTGTCGCAACGGATTCGGGATATAAGAGACTAACAGCCGGCTCCTGGACATCCTTGTCGTTCTTCTGGTAAGACATTTTGACGGCTTCACGACTCGAACGGATCGTTTAGTTGAGGTTGAATGGGTGCGACCTGCGTTGCGGCAAAGTGATGAAGCTGTTTATTCGTTGATGCTAATGTAAGAAAAAAAAGGAACCAATATCGCGGATACCTTTTTTTCATTTTTGGTGGGGTCGCAAATTCGCCCAGCTAGGGCTTTGGCTGTGCGAGGCGCTAAGCTTGATGAGGGAATGGCGCTTGATTTATTGCGGCGCTGTGATTGGCCGATGGGAGAGATTCGTTTAAGCCTGGGGGATGTGGATCCTGGAATATGCCGTTAGCAGCATAGCTGCGAGCCTTGCAATGAATCATCCGGCGATGATGGGGGCGATGACAAGTGAGAAGCTTCAGGCGGCGAGGGGCTTTATTTAAATATTTGAACGGCGGCTGCTTTGTCGCTGCTTCTGTTGCTGATACTGCATCTCACAAGGAAATCTTTATTTTCTTTCTCAAAATCGTCCACAGCAATGGCTTCTCTCCCGCCCTTTGCGCCGTTTCCAAAGGCCTCATGGCGGCAGCACATCTCATCTGACGACTGGGATGCTCTATCGGAAGCTTGGACTGCGCTGTCGCAAGCTTATCTGGACCTGGAAGATGCGGCGTTCAAGCGAGCAGCTGCAGGAGATGAGTCTCTGACGTTGTTTGTATCGACATTTGTAGAGGAGACGGCTACAGAGTCTGGCGCAAGGACAGCATCACCGCGGCTGCTGAAGACGATATTCCGCCTCATCTCACGGCTTCTCACAGTATCGCCGCCGCCTGGGCTATTAGACGTGAAATTTTTGGCCGGGTTTGCAAAGATATTCCCAAAGAAGCACACGGGGCCTCTATTTTCACAGTTATTCGCTTCTCACGCCACTCCCATCGAATCCTCCTTACTGTCTCTCAAAAAGCTCCTCATTCCACAGCTCGATGCCGGAAGCAAAGGGGACCTAAGACTTGTCGAAGCAGAGCTGATACGTTTAAATCCGCTGCTACACGTTTCACCTCATGCGTGTATACTCCTCCTGGCTGGATCCGACTTCTTTGACGGCCTGGTCACTTGTTTTCAGGTCATCAATCCTCCTCTTCGAAAAGCCATCATCACCACCGTCTACCTATGTCTCATTGGATTGATTGAGACTGAGCCTCCAAAGTGGTCCATGATTAGCGATCAACTATTCGCCATTCAAGCTGCAGCGGAAGCACACAAGAAGGGAACTCTGAATCCCAACGATTCTCTCGCGGCAGATCTTGTGACAAACACGCCCATCCTCAAAGCCTTGCTCAGAAAATTAGAATCATCGCCGACGGCGCCATCCAATCTCAAAGTCCGCATCACAGCACTGGAAGCATTTAAAACAGGCGTCATTGTTCGGCCAAAGAAATTAGTCAAGAGAAAAATAGATAAAGGAAAGGGGGTAGAGGCGGCTGAGGATGTACATGCGGAAATGCATATACATAAGATGAGCCAAATTACTAATATCCAGGATATCTTCCCAGACTTGGGGGCTGGATTCATAGCGAAATGCTTGGATGAGTACAACGACGACGTGGAAAAGGTCATTGCAAGTCTGTTTGACGAATCATTACCGCCCCATCTTGCTAATGCGGATAGGAGTGAGACACTGTGAGTTTTTAAAGATATCTTGGCATGATGAGATGATGAGATGGTGAGATGATGAGATGAATACGTGGCTAACATTACGATATTAGATCACATACGGAGCATGATGCTAGACCACATAAAGATCTTGCGCCACACTCTACACCACCTCAACTACCCACAAGACGAAATGTATTCGATGACGACGACTTTGACCGACTAATAGTTGATACTTCCAAGATTTCATTCGGCAAGAACCCAGAAAAGACTGCCGATGACATCCTCAAAGACAAATCCACTGCTCCAAACAAGGCAGCTATTTTATCCGCCCTCGCAGCGCTCGATCCAGATGATGACGAGCGAGACGACACCTACGATGCTGCAGACGTGGGAGGCACCGTCGACACAGGAGACCAGGAAGCCAACGGTGTCAACGACAGCAACGAAGAGCTTCTCTTCCGCGCATTCCAAGCGGACATTAGGATATTCGCCAGAGACGCGGACACAAGGAGAGGCGCCACCCGCGGAAAATTACGAGATGAAACGGGCATGGCTGATGAAGCCATCGAAGGATGGGCAGTGATGCTGCAGAGGAATCCCACGCAGATGAGGCGTCTGGAGGCCAAGTACGCCTGGAGCGGCCAACAGGCGCAACTCGATCGCAGTGCGTGGAGAGACAGCCCCGCCGGCTCAGGTGCCGAGGAGAGTGATCCCGACGGTGGTAACTCCAGCAACAGAGGTGGCGGCGGCGGCGGCAGAGGCGGCCGCGCGCGAGGAGGAGGTGGTCGCGGTCGTGGAGGCCGTGGCAGGGGAGGAAACGTCGCCGGGCCTTCGGGCGAAAAGGAAACAGAGGCGGCGAGGAGGAATAAGGAGTCGCATAAGGGATCGAGGGCGAATCACAATAGGAGAGATGCGAGGGCTAAGAAGATGGCCCGTGGAGGATTTGCTGGATGAAGATGAAGAAATGCCTAGGCAATCGAATCCGTTTTTCTTGGGTTGCCTGAAGGTGTTAAATGATAACAGGCGCAGATATGCCCTTGTTTCATAGAGAATTGATAGAAACATCAGGCATGAGTAATGAAAGCCAAGACAGAAAGGAGATACTTCTGTTAAATCGACGAACAAGACATATTCGATGGCTGACTGGCACTCTTTCTCTGCCATGCTTCACCAAATTCACTTTCCTGCTAATTCTTCCCACTTCATACTATTTCTGTTGGCCTGCCGGTTGATACATGGCAATAGAAACGGCAGTGCCATCTTGTACCGCAAAGAAGAAACTGTTCTTTTCAAAATATTCTGGCCCATATACATTGTATAATTACTATAAATTTAACAGCCAATATTGCTTCTCATAACCAGATTACCCGAAAACAACAACGCCAAGTCAATGCCACCTCCCTTCCCCAGCCCGGCCTTTCATGCCTTTTCTTTTTTCTTTACAACGCCTCAGACAACCCATCCACCACATTTCCAAGCATCCTCAAGCCGTAATACTTCGCTACTCGCCTCATAACAGCCAGTTTCCGCACAATCTCCTCCCGTGACAACACCTCCTTCCATCCACCACTGCAAGTGCAATGCTCCATAAAGTCATTCACCCTCAACGCACCGCACCGCTCACACTTGAGATCCTGACAAGACCACTCCGTCGTCCACCCCTCTACCATGGCGAGTAATCGCTCCTCGATGCTCACCCTATCATACTCGGTGTTGCAGAAGGCGCATTGCCAGCTCTGGCCACCGTTCTCTCCGGAAGAGCTAAACAAATCCTCGTCGCGGCAGAGATCCAGGTCACGCGTCATGGTACAGCTGTCACAAGACACCTGTAGCAGTTTGAGACTCTCTGAAGGGTTTGTAAACGTACCCTCTTTGGAAAATTCACGGATCTCGAATAGGGCGAGCAGCTCCTTGCGCAACAGTCTCGCTTCTAGTGTAATATTCTTGTCAAGAGACAGCACTTGCATGATTGACTTGACAAGTTCAAGAATTGGATTGCGTAAGGCGAGGTGTGAACCTGGCAGGGAGGGGAAGCTGTAGTCCTCTGCCAGTTCTGGATGCATGAGTTCGCGCTTCTGCTGATTGATGAGACCAACAATGACTTTCTTCATTGGCTTTTCAAAAGTCTTGCCAAGAATAATCTGAGTTTCGCCATCGGGATCCTGCTTCCGATTTGGCAGCTGAGTGAGCCGTGGAGTAGAGTCAGGATCATTGTTTTCTGGCCGCTTTAGCTTATGCATGAGCTGGATGAATTCAATCACCCAATCCTGGAAAATGGGCTGCAGACGAACGGGCAGGAATGTTGCCATCTGCCAGTGCATGATAGTCTCCAAATCCTGCTCTTCAGATTCTGCAACCACTTGAGTAGCCCGGCCGCCGTAGTTGAACTCATCGTACCATACCAGATAGTCCCAGTACTCCTTGATCTCCAAGTCAATGAAATGGAATAAAGACTTGCTCTTGATTGACTTGATGATGTACTGGCTATAAGCATACGCATTGCCAACCTCGGCCTTGGTCGTCTGAAGAATCAGTCGGTTGGCGCTTGCAAAGATGACTTGTGAGCCGACGCGCCTGAAATCTGACATGAGCTGCTGGAAGGCTTTCCGCGACATCATTTGCACGTAGTAATGCAGTGCTCGATCGTACATGAACGAATCTGGATTCTCAACCCATCGGACAAGATGTTGAACGAGTACGTCGGCCATGGTACTGCCTTTGCAAGCTTCCGCCCACCATGCCTTGACCATCTCACGAAGAACTAATACTCCGGCGTTCGCAAATCCATTCTCTGAAGCAAGGATCTCAGACCCATCAGCTGTAGGGTTGAATGATATTGATTCAGCGCCTTCGAGTTCGTTGATCAAAGACGATGTTAGAATCGTATTGATGGTAAGATTTCGGATATCCAGGTCAATGCAGACCGATGAAAACGTTCCGGGGTTATTGATACTAGGCATCTTGACCGTGTCGAGTGAGCCGGTAATATCATCCTTTTCATAACCGGCATGATCTGGCCGAGGGTCTGGTGACCACCACAACACCACCCCGTTCGCTTGTAGCCGTCGAGCATAAGCAATGTCAATCAAGAACCGAGGGTCATCACGCTCGAGATTACACAGCGGTACATCGCCGTAGCGTGCCAGAGCTGTGAGATGCAAGATCCAGGAGCCTAGCCCTAGGTAATGCCCAACTAGACGTCGCGCAACGACCGCTTGCCAGCCCAAAGGTGGTAATGAGCTATCAGAGGCGTCATATTTGAGAGGCAATACGGGAAACTCGCCCAGAATGGGGACGTCATGGACAAGGAGGTTGTGCTGAGACGATTGAATCACCATCATTTGTGGTCGTGATTCGTCTTTGCGCAGTTTCCTCACAACATCGGCTATCTCCAAATGCGCTTTGCGCCGTGTTGTCACTTGAGTAATCTTGAAAGTAACCTTCTCTTGGTAACTGAAACAATCCTGCCAATTCGTACCCGCAGCTTCTTCCGCTCTCCTTGCAAGCAGTTCCGAGTACATTCTCGTGATATTGGGGAGATCTGAGCCAGAATCTCTTCCCTTCTGCAGTATCACGACGTAAGCCTGATCGCTTGTAGTAGAGAATAAGCCGAATATTTGGCGATCTCCCGCAGTAATGTGAGATACATAGATATAAGCCAACGGAGACGACTCCAGATACGTCTTTGGTTTGATAGGTCGTTTCAGACCCATCAGATCGAATCCCTGCTCAAGACCTTTACCAAGAACTGCCTCCTGCTGCTCGTCAATAGTGCAGAGATTACCTAGTCGAAGGACTGCGCGAATATTCAAGGGCACCTGCTTTTCATACACACCCTCGACACTAGGATGATTGAACAAGAGTGAAAATTTCTCCGCCTCGTTGAAGTATACGTCTTCTGGCACAGTGAGTTTGAAGAGATGCTTGGATTGATGGCCGTTGGGAAGAGTATAATTGACTTGCTCAACCTCACACCCAGGAATCTCGACGTCTGGTAGCTCTTCTTTCTTAAGGTTGAGGAAGACTTGTCGAGGAACATTAATCTTCAGTGTGTGGATCTTCGCATCTATCAACACGTGCGCTGTTACAACGCCAGGGGTATCGGTGGCCTTGAGGTGAAGAAGTTGCCATGTGTTCATGAACGTAAAATGCGCCTGTTTCATGAATGTTTGCTGAATGTTGCTGTTTGCGTTGCTTCGTCTCTCGCCAAACAGCTGCCTCCTCCGAATACGTGCTTGCTTCTGCAGTTTCCACTTCTTCTTCTGATACTCTAAGAATCCGACGTAGTCGTCTGATGGACCAGGCATGTTGTCTGGCAAAGCGGCCATTGGATTGGGATTCTCCGCTGGCTCGGGAGACTTTCGTTTCTGAGAAACGGCCGGTGGTTGTGACGATGCAATAAGTTCACCGAGTTGCTTTGGTTTAAGCAGCTTGGCGCCAAAGTCCTCCATGTCTTCTGCTCGATTAATGTTTGTAATATCTGCTAACGGTTCTTTGCTGCTAAAGAGGTCTGTAAGTTTCTTTTGCTTCATCTTATCATCCTTGATATTGATTCTTCGTTGAAGCCAATCAGGATGAGGAACTCTGGGTACGGGATTGCGGACTTTCTGTAACGCGGCAGGAATGGTGATGAGCTTTTGGATCACAGATCCAAGACGCTCCGAGTAATAATCCCAATCTAGAAGGGCTCGAGGATCGGTATCTGCAGGCTCCTCCTTGAGCCACTTCTTTAGATATGTTCGCTTCACAGTCTCTTCCGCAGAGAAGATTGCTACAGGCACAGCTCGTTCTGTAACAGGAGCATTTCGTGGCCGAGAACAGATGATGAATTTACAATTCAGACCTTTGTCTTTTACCATCTGCTCACCTAAAAAGTCGGCGAGACGTCGTGCAGTTGTGATACTGGTAGACTTTTGACTTCCATATTCTTCCAACGTTTTGGACATGCTTCGGTTTTCGGAAATCAGCTCCATCAGTTCTTCGTCAGCTAGGGTAGATCCTTTATTATCCAACACGTCTAGCCATTGATTTGCAACCTTGGCAACGGCTTTGTAACATTGCGTCAAATCTTCTCCTTCCAAGAAAAATTTGAATATCTGCTGTTGGAAGATCTTAATGAGCTTAAGCTCACCACGACGTTTAACCTCAAATCCTTTCAATTCTGCCAGACTGCCGTCATCATTGAACACGGCGTATCGCTTCTTCAAATTCTTATCCTCCTCTTTCGAAGTGGGCAGAATCATTGCCCTATAGGGACCATCAACTTCGAAAAAGATGGAATTGTCGCTATGAGTCTCGTATTTATGAGTCTTGTCATCCACCAAAGTCTGATACTGGTGGTTGGTGAATTTGTCATGCACAAGATGGTTAAGCATGACGCAGGGATATGATATGTTCAGCTTTTTGCCATTCTTCAGCTTGAACGCAAAGTTCTCTGGGAAAGAAGCGGGAAGCATGCACCAAATACCGTCTGTATCCAGCTCGAGGGGTCTTCCAAGGCGTTCAACAAGCTGACGAGCAAGTTGAATAATCGTGGCTCCTGTCAAGCATGTAACACCCGCCATTTCCATAGAGTACCATCGAGAACCTTTTCTCATGACGTATCCGTAGAAAGAGTTCAGAATAACCTTGTGCGCAAGCTGTAGAGAATCGTATAAAATGATCATCTTTTTGGCATCGTCAATCTCATTGCCGGGTGCTCCAGATGACTTTAGCGCATCCGTTTTCCCCTTCCACACTTTGGCTTTGCCTTTGTAATCGTAACGACGATCACGAAAATCACGGACGGTATTGATATAGAAAGGATTCTCACGCTGACAAATAATTGCTTCGCGAACAATGGTAGTAGAGTCGTGAATCTTGTGGTATACCTTCTGAGAGTAGAGTTGAAGACGCTTCCTCACTAAATTTGCTTGCTCATCTGCCGACAAATCTTGAAATGTCCTCGGTGGAGCATAAGGTGTTTTCCCAGGAAACTTTTCATTCTCAAGAGCATGCCGAATCATGTTATACTCGTCCCTTTTGGCAGGGATATACTCTCCTCTCCAGGCCCAAGGTAATCGTCGATCGCATGTCTTGCCTGGCCGATTGAAATCACAAGCCGCGCAATCTGATTCTGAAATCATGGAGTCCGGTTGCAATCGATTTGTTGTCATAATGTTTGGATACATAGAGGCGACGTCCAAGTGGTAGATGAGCGGCCTTTCGTTTCGATTTGGCGTCTCTTTCAAGGCCTCAAGCTTGCTCTTAATCTGCTGCTTGACCTCATCATAGTTGGTAACATCGTCTAGAGACTTATTCTCCTCAACGGTGATGACGAATTTCAACGCATTGTCCAAATCTCGCAGGAGCTCATTAACTGCGCCGGGATCGACGGCAAAATTGACGGGAATATCAGATCGAAAGACGCCAGCTTCAATACTCTCGACGTGGCCGCCGACATACGTCTCAGAGTCGAGAAGGTGGCCATCCCAGAAAGCTTCTTTCGGAGTTACGTGCTTATTCGGTAGTACAATCTCCTTTTGGTATGCTTGAACCATCAGAAGCATCTCACAGAGCGTACCGGTACCTTTCCTTAGGACATCGTCTCCTCCCAATGGCAGAATTGTGCAGAGAGAGAAGATGAAAGGATGTACATACTTCATGTACAGATAGTAGGTTGCAACAGCATCGGAAACTGAGTACTCTGCCAACGTCTGTGGTCGCTCTTGCGCATATGGCGTCATCAATTCGGGATCGAGTTCATCGGGGTCATATCCGAGCTTGGCGACTGTAACGGCCTTCAAACCTCGAGATCCTTGGGGCAAGTAAGAATCTCGGTTGACCCAATGGAAGCAGTCCATATGAACACTATAGTTACACTTGAACTGGTCTTCGCTGTCTCTCTTCCAACCAATCTCTTGGTACATGTCGATGCCATTTATGCTCGCTCTCGTCTCGACAAAAGGCCAATCAAAGAAGTCACCGTTGTAAGTCGCAATGACGGTAGGGCGCGCCTCTTTGATATGAAGAAAGAATCTTTCGATAAGGGCTTTTTCATCCGGCTCATTGAAAATCATGAAAGGTCCAGGATACTCGGGCTTTGGGGTGTAGTCGAAATCGCCAATGTCCTCAGAAATAATTTCTCTATTTGTGATCAGGAATCCTTGGCCATCAATCATGTATGATATCATCATAATCTGATCGGTAGCGGCGTCGGGGAATTTCAGGGGCAGTTTCGATGTTTCGATATCGTATGCCATAACAACCGGATCGGCTGGTAGGGATCTGTCCTCGTTTGGTATAATCTTCGTGATGCCATGCTTTGCTTCGACAAAATACCACTTTCCGGCTCGTATATCTGGAAAAGATGGTTAGCCGAACCGCTGAACCCCGAGATCTTGCCATACACAAGGTCATATACCTAAGTCTATCATTACTCTAACATGGTATGGAACATCGTATTCGCGAATGTCAACGATGAAATCGCTCGCCTCAGAAATAGAATTACTGGCGTTTCGCTCGTCATCTCGTAAATCATTATCAAAAAGATCGAAGTCGCCGCTCATTCTGTAGCCGTAAGTGTTATAAACTTCAACCTAAAAGAAAAGACCCCGCCACGATGTCTTTCGATGGTACTTACGTCGCAACCTCGGCATATGCATCCATGGCATTCATATTCTTCCTATTCTTCTCCGCAATCGGCATGATGTCTCTTCTTGCGGACATTAGGTCGCTGACGTTGGCAAACTTGAGCTCGATGAATGTCCGTCGGTAGCCCATCAAATGATTCGGCATGCTGAGATCTTCCTTTTCCATTCTCCTGACGGACTTTACAACTCCACCGCCAGGCACCCTCTTCACCCATTCCTCAACTTCAGACTCTCGGCCTTTTTTGACCGCGATTATAAAGTAAGGATCATACTCGACCGTAGCTTTGAATGTGCTCCCATCGAGTTCTATAAAGTAGCAGTCCAAAGCTGCTCGGCCACCTGGTATCCTCTCGTCCTCGATAGAAGTGGGCTGAACGTTGACTAGCCACCCTTCTTTCCTCTTCCCACTTTCATAACGGGCAAATCCCATCTTGTCGTCAATGCTTTGGGCCAAACGAGTACGCTCCCACTTTTCATCTGCAGAGGTACCTTCGGCCCTCGAGGACGCAGCAAAAGTTCGGGTTTTTGGGCCATGGTATGCAGCTTTGCCCCCTTTTTTGTAGCCCTTTGCTGGGCGGCGCAGAGATGTGTTCGGCATCGCAAAGGCGTTAAGGAGGGGTCGCTGCCAATTTGGCAATCAGAGAGCTCGAACTTAATCGGTTGATAGCCTCGTCATGGATTATGATATTCTGCACCAATTTGCTATGATATCGATGGGGTCGTCTCGAAGTAGCTGCTATCTTCGTGTCTGCAGTGCAGAATGTGCAATGGTTGGCCGGGCAAGTAAACAAAATCGAGTAGTGGCCCGTACCAAACGACACTCGCTCGCAGAGGATCTTTCGCGAAGATGTGTGTGGGCAGCTATCAGGGAGACGCGTTGGTACGCGCTGATACGCGACTCAGTCTGGCTAGTAAGCGCCACACCTTTAATTGATTTTCAGCCACAGAAGAGCTCAGCACAGCCACAGCCCACTCTGAAGCACCAATTCGACGATAAATCGTGCGAGCGTCATAACTGCTGCCAGTCGATTCCCAGGCCCCAGATCGTCCATGCTACAATTTCGACAAGCAAGGTAGCCAGAAATGGCCCCGACCAATGACAATGAGCGGCCCAATCCGAACGAAAAGGTTCTGCATGTGTGGTCCAAGCCGATAGCAGAAGGCGATCAGGTTCCAGAGTCGGCCAAGAACCCTGATGGAACTCCGAATTCTCAGACTGCGTTTTCAGCAGCGGTCTCTATGATAAAGAAAGAGGACTTTACAAACATTGCGAATACACCGTGTGCGCGGCAAGGACTGTTGACTGGCATTGGAGCTGGGGCTGGCCTTGGCGGCTTGAAATTTGTGCTTCAAGGTACGCTGGCGACCGCATCTTTAATACCAAGAGTACTCTGGTGGAGGACGAAGCTGGTAGCTAACAAATTCTTCTATTGCAGGCAATGCCGCCAAATCTGCCAATTGGGCAGTTGGATTCTTCATGTTAGGTAGCATCGCCTCCTACGAATACTGCCAGTACCTGCGGCGTTCCGAGAAGATCCAGATGAAGCGACACATTGAGGTGGTCACGCAGAACAAAAAAGAGCAGGCAAAGAAGCTGGCCGAAGAGAGGCGTGAGCAGCAGAGGATAGAGGAGGAGCAAAAAGCCCGAAATCGAGCCTGGTATAAGATTTGGTGAAGCTTACCTAGGCAGATGTGCTGCCTTGTACCATTATGTGTATGAATACAAGAATAAGAGATTCCACTTGGATATTACGGCCGGTTTCTGTTCAATACGATATTATGAGGAGGGTTGTCAAAAGCGTATATATAAGGAATTATCCATAATCCCCTCAGAAGGATCGGAAGTCCTGAACTCATTCCTTGGCTGCTGTTCGCAAACAGTACCAGTGTCCCAAAAGTCCCAACGCCGCCAGCCCATGCCCCTTGTCTGCCTTGAGAGCATTGCAAAAGTATTTCGTTCAAGCCATCAAGTCCCATCAAACGCCGTCATTCATCTGATATCGTTTTGATATCATTGCCCATGCCAAAATGTTGCTTCCCAGTTTGCCAATCATCAATAGTATCATAATCATGCCGTCATTGTAAGGTTTCTGCTCTCGCCATCTGTAAATCTGACTTTCCTTGAGGGGAGAGACTTGTGATCCCGCCTAGCGGGTGTAGCAACATCCCCTCGACGTCTCTGACTCCTCTTATTCCTTGCCTCGTTCTCTTCTCGTTTTCTGTATTCTGCCATCTGCTGCCGCCTCTTCATGACCCGTGCATGAGCAAGCGCTGGAGTGGGCTTAAATCCAATGCCATTAATGCCAGTGCCGTCGTCATCCTTATCATTCGGGTCGTAAATAGTGATTTCGTCCTCATGCCATGTTAACGAGGCTCGCAGAGGATCTACAACCTCTGCTTCATCATCGGCCTCGGACAGTCCCTCATGGGGATGCCCCTTTTTGAAACGCAGGGGCGGGGTGCCGGCTCTCTTGTTTCTAGACTGGGACTCGGATAGGCGGTTGATGGATGGATACGTGTTCTGGAGTAGACCTTCAGTTGACGGGTGTGGAACCTCTAGCTGCAACGAAGGGTGAAGAGCCGTTTCCATCACTTCGCCCGTTCCCATCTCTGGCTTCAGCTCTGTCTCTGGCTGTAATGCTAGCTCTGGCTGTGGGATTAGGGCTGGTTGCATCTCTGCAATAGTATGGGCACCTTCGTCTGATCTGTGGCGTTTCCTGGTAGCTTCATCGAACTCTATGTCCATTTCATCAGCAGCTTCGACAACTCTGCTCCCACTGCCGAGAGCGAGACCGCGAAACCTATGTACAACGGTTGAGGAGTGTGGGCTGTTGTTGCCATCTTCCGGTGGGCCGGTCGCGGAGAGATCGAACGAAAATTTTAGCGGCGAAGGAGAAATATCAGACTCTCTCTTCCGCTTTGGTGTGGCATTTACAGATTCAGTCATGGTTTTCAGCCTTCTTCTAGGGTATCTTAAGGCCTGAGGCTGGGATTGAGAAAAGGCGCTGCGGGGAGAGAGTTGGAGAGGAGGTTGAGAGAAAGAGGCGTTAGCGGGTATCAGAATGGGGGCCGGAAAGCGGTCAAGCAGCCTCGCCGGCAAGGAAAAGGCTCAGTCTGAAGGGCTTCTGGAGGCGCAAGCAGGGATAAGTCTTCCAGCTACCTTATTCGTGATCGGACGAAAGGGCAGCATCAGTGGCACGAGCCGCATCAATCGTTTAAAGCTGTCAGAAACGCAACTGTCTGGGGTTGACTGGGCTGCGCGTCACAAGACCCGGCGGCGCCTCTGCGAATTCGACGCAGCGCCACGTGGAAAAGCAGCAGCGATCTGATGGCGCTCTGCAGCCGGGCAAAAGCGGGCTGCACCTGCGGGGAGCACGCACAAGCCCGCTGTAAGGTACGCCTGGCGGGACTAATCAGGGGAGCTTCAGCCAAAAAAAAAACAAAAGCTACATGTAGGATGTACATAAGCCACCACTTCACTTACTACTATACGGATAGATACAGACAATATAGAATGTTGAAACTTCAATCGATTTAATTTAGAGAGATATTTCCATAACCAATTCAGGGCCTAGAAATAGTACCTCCTTAGCTTAGTTTGGCCAACATCTCACAGCTAAGTTTTACTGACCCTGATTAATCTAGGTGACCTTGATTAATGCAGGCATATACATTACTTCAAATGACCCCAGAAACCAGCGACGTGCTTACCGCCATCTTAAAAGGAAGACTCACGGGCTATCAATTGATATATATTGATATTGCAAACGGGCAGACGTTTTGCATAGGGTCACATGTACACTGGCGTGCAACAAATACCAGTCATCAAGAACCAAAAGTAGGAGCTTAAGCAGGCTTCCTTGCATCTCGCATCTGCTTTTCTTTACCCTCTCTCAGCATCCCTTTTACCTCCACGTCTTGCTCAAATCAGGAGCTTCATAATGGATGCGAAATGCAACGCCTGTAGCAAAGGGCCACCCGAGGTCTCCCTCAAGAGATGTGCCAAGTGCTCCAACGACGCAATTGCTCCCGAGAACGCCAAAAAGCTGATTGGAAAACCCATAAGAAAACCTGTGGTAAAAACAACCATCTGCAAACGCCCCCCCCCCCCCCCCCCAAAAGGACTAGACTAACCGATTTCTATGTCTTTCACCCGCCTTGGTAATGGCACGTGGCTTCACAACCGCCCCGAGATCGATGTGTACAGGCTGCTGATTGATACCTACCGCCTCCGTGTTGAAGATATTATGTCATGGAAGGCGACTTCATGGAGGGCAGTGTCTATGCTGGCAACACCGACGGCCTGCGTGGTTTCCGGAACATCTTGAGGAAAGCTGCCACTGTCTCGGGTTTGTTACCTCCCTGGTGGAACAACGAGAAAAAGCCAGCCTGTGAACAGCTGGGGATAGATACGTCCCAAGGGTCAGACCTGCGGTGCGCTGTGGAGAAACAGGGTATTATCGAGCAATACGGGGACCCTCAGTTCCCAATGCAGCTACGAATGCTGGCGGAGGCCGTTTATGGGCGAAGGCCCGGTGGACACGATGGAACGGCGATGTGAATGATGATAATGGCAATAGAAAAGGGTGAATTATGAGCGGATACACAGAGCACTATGCTTGACCTCACGACTATGGGAAAATCACAAATCCATAATGGGCATTAGTCTCTGGCCTTGGCGTCAAGCCGCCATAAGGGATTTTATCACGGGGATGTAGTGGAATTGGCTGGTAATCTTGCCGGCAAAGAGCTCAAGCCTCCACTGTAAAGTAATAAACAAAATATCCTTGCTAGATATTGAGACCTCAAATAAAGAGCTTCTAAAAGGTAGTCTGTGCTCTTAATGACGAGTCAAGTCAACTGCCATATTTTGGCTATATTGCCTTCCACTAGGCATCTGCAAGGCCCCGAATTTTGTTATGCGAGCGCGCAGCAAACGTCTCCAACTGCCTCCAACTACCCCGCCATTGCCCCGCCGCCATCGAACGCGGTGGAGCTCCTTTGCACATATATCCGCGCAGAGGATCCGCGAAGGCATTAAAACAGCCTGAATGCGCTCTCTTTTCCGACGAAATGGGGACACAGAAGCCACAATAGATCCGAGATAATCGCCATTGCAGCCCATAATTTCCCCATAGCTAACGTTGTTGTATGTAGCACTTCGTTTATATATACACCGAGCTTGTGTATCCGTCGGACAGCTCTGCCGAATATAAACGCTGCCGGAAGACCCTGCAGATTTCCAGCTCAACTTTGTTTCAACCACTTGCCCGCACCAGCCATCACATCACCATGACTGACGCGCCTTTCAATTTCCTGCCCCTCGGCGCCATTATCCAGGACTTCAAGGTCAAGGACACAAACATTGTGCTTGGGTTCCCAGAACAAGAGCAGTATGTGAAATACAACTCTGCCTATTTCGGAGAGACCATCGGGCGCATCGCAAACCGCATCAAAGACGCCAAGATCAACAGCCTCAACGGCGGCAAGGAGTATCCGCTTGCCGCCAACGACGGCCTCAACACTTTGCACGGCGGCAACGAGGGCTGGGGTAAGCGTATCTGGAAGGGCCCTACACCCGTGGGAACCAAGGAGATTCCTGGCGTGCAGGGCCTGAAGGGTGGCGAAAGCGTCGAGTACACTCTCCGCAGCGAGGATGGCGATGAGGGCTACCCAGGCGCTGTGGAGGCCAAGGTCATCTACACCACTGGAAACCAGGTTGTTGACGGGAAGGAGATCATCGTTCTGGGTATTGAGTATGAGGCGAAGCTGGTTGGAGGCGCGGACGAGACCATCATCAACCTGACCAACCACTCCTACTTCAACCTCACCGGCGATACGAATATCACGGGCACCAAGGTTACTCTTGCGACCAACAGCCATCTACCCGCCAATGACGATTCCATTCCTCTCAGCGGCCCTGTTCCTTTCCCCGAGCTTGACACCTCCAAGCCTTTTGTCTTGGGCGCCACCGGACCAGAAATCGATCGCTGCTTCGTAACCACCGCTGACCCGTCGTCCGTACCGATCGACACTCGTTCACAGCCTCTTGCTCTCAACTTGTCTGCCTCCCACCCCAAGAGCGGTATTCACTTGGAAGTCCTCAGCACAGAGCCATCATTCCAGTTCTACACCGGTGACATGACCGACGTGCCTGCTGTTGAGGGCCTGCCCGCGAGAGGCGCACGAAGTGCATTCTGCTGCGAGCCCGGTCGCTGGATTAACGCGTGCAATGTCCCCGAATGGAAGGACATGGTCATCTTGAAGAAGGGAGAGACTTATGGTGCTAGAATCGTGTACAAGGCCTGGACAGAGTAACTTTCAAGCGTTTATTAATGATGAAATGATGAACTTGTTTTGGTTTTGCTCCTATGTACCTGTTGCTCCATTATTCGTTCAAGCATTCATAGTAAAAATACAGATAGTATGAGAAAGAAGAGTAAAAGCAGTAAAATGGCATTATCTTGGCTTCTTTCGTGACATTTTCGTTACACATAACTGCCGTGCTATGCCGCCACATCATCATTCACAGATATTACATCCGACACATTGTGAGAATACTGGGTGGCTGAGTAAGTGAACTGACCTGCAGTCGCCTAATCGGAATCGCTGTCATCTCCTAGAAATGCGAGATCTGCGTGGGCTTTTCTCCGCCTCGCAGCAAAGGAAGTTGGCTCTTCTTCGTCATCATCGCCCTCATCTTCGTTTTCCTCCCCACTGTCCGCTTTAGTCTCCTGTTTGGTTGCGCTGCTCTTGCTTCTGCTGGCCCTGCCGCCGGAGCTTGTGCCCCAGAGTCGGTCCATTTCCTGAGCTGCCTCGACATCCGCCTGCAGTTCTCGCATCTCTTTGATCTCGCGGGCCTTGGCTTCTGAGAAACGCCCGTCCATGCCAATGTCGGATAGCATTTTCTTCAGGTGGCGAATTTTGGCTCCGGCATTGTCTCCATACTGCTTAAGTTCCATGTGCCATAGTTTGCGAACACCGCACTTGGTGAGGTGTGACTGTAATTTCTTGATCTCTGCGTCTTTGGGATCATCTGTAGCGGTAGCCTCCTTTTTTACTGCTGGCTTGGAAGCCTTTAGTTTTGATGAGCCCTCTTTCTTTTCGCCCCTTTTCCGTTTTGTGGGCGGTGGTTCGTCGATTACATCGGAATACTCGTCCTCTTCATTGATTTCTGGTTTTGACCCATCCTTGATATCCGTCTTGGCATCTTCTGCGTCTGAATCGGGCTGGTTTTTGAATGACGAGCTTTTCTCATCGCCCGGTGTTTCCTGTTTCTTCATAGTAGTAGACTTGCCTTTTTCGGGAGTGCTGTGTTTCGTTTCATCTTCAGATTCGTCTTTTACGTCTCGCTTTCGATTTCCAGCAGGTGACAGAATCCCTTCCAATTTGGCGTCCTCTTCATCGGAGTCATCTACCTTAGCCTTGCCGCGTGATACGAGTTTCTTGACTTTGGTCTTCGATTCCTTCTTGGGAGTTTCATCAATGTCTGAATCCTCTTTCTTCTTCACAGGCCCAGATGCCTTCTTCCGACGCTTAGGCTGCGGTGACTCGACCTCAGATGACTGTCGCTTGATGCCAGCTTTAGTATCAAGTTTATTCTCTGGTTCGGAACCATCTGCGTCAAGCAATTTGTCCTGGTGACATAAATTTAGCGGGGTAAGTTGGAGATATAGCACAATTGGCAGAGCTACTTTGCTCGTATACTCACCACTTGCTCCTTGATAACTGTCTTGCTTTTCTGCTTCCAAGCATCGCTGGTGAAGAAGCCATCCTCTAGCCCGAGCTTTTCTTCGACATGCCGCCGGACTTTATTGACCGAGGTTCCGTCAGGTTCTGCCTTGTAAATTTCGCAGGTTCCGTCAATGAGTGCTTCTTTGAGCTTGGCGGCTGAGGGCGCCATGGTGGCGGGCAGAGTCAAAGAGAAAAAACCAAATCAACTGAAATTGTAATTTTTGGAGCTCTGGCAGTAACAACAGCACTTGCTTTCCAAAGGCCCCAGATGACGTTGTATCTGTCGTTGTCGAGCTTCCAAAAGCGCGTCTGGGACGCGATCGGATTGTGATTGGAGAGCTTTAATTGATGCTGGCGAGCTACGCTGTACAAAGTTACATCGAGCGGACTGTTTTGCTGTGGAGCAGGGTTCGATAAACCGACTAGACCTATTACGTCTGTATAACCAATGGAACCAATGATGTGTGATGCTGTGGTTTTTTTATGTGGAGATCAAGCCTGAGGTATGCAATGACGGCTTTTGGAGAAGTCGATTTTAGCTGTGATGGGCAGCACTATTAAGCCATTACTTGAACTCGTCATCTTCAGATTCTAAAACATCTATCTTTTCAACGCCATTTTGATCGATTTGTTGACACTGAATTCACACTGATTGAAAATTGCCAATTCATTGAACAGACTACTGGCGGATCAGACGTATGATTTAGAACAACCTACATATATCCAAGATGTCGGCATCACTTGCACCAGAGTGTAATGAAGTGAAGGAGTAAGCATCCTCTTGGCTATTACAAATGGCGATATACTGACATAAGAATCAAGGCGTTACGATACCTGCTTTCTAAAATGGTATAGCGAGAGTGAGATATACCTTCCAATCTTCAAGTCTGTATCTGCTAAGCAGTTCTCAAACTTACACCATATGCAGAGTACCTTCGAGGGGCGGAGAAGGACAACAAGGAATGTGCCGGTCTATTCAATGAATACCAAAAGTGTCTAAGTGTATGAAATCTGAAACGAAGAGGCGCAGAGAAAGGAACGATATCGTGCTGACATTTTGAATTTAGGTTGCACTAAAGGACCGAGGCATTGATAAGCTTCTTGACGAGGCCCGGGAAGACAACAAAGAAAACGACGTGAGGTTAACAGCGCCCAGGAGTAAGTCCACGAATCAAATACAAGGAAACGTCATGATTTATTAATCAATGTCCAGAGTAGCGATGTTTGTTTCGATTTTTGGAAAGGAGGAGGCTTGCTTCCATGGAAAAGGCCGAGATGCGCTGGCCCGCCGGAGCGGCTTAGACCTGAGATCTCGTATTTGCACCAAATCTGTACATATAAATGTCGCAACATCGTTTTCTGACATGCTGTAAATTGATAATCCGCATGCTCCATGGCGCATGTCCAGCCCAAACAACCTGTTTCTGGTCCATTCCTGGGCCGCAGCAATCATGATATACGCAAGCAGAGGATACGTCGTCAATTACAAGCCACGTGATTCGCTGCCGGCCACAGAAGCACCCTCAAGAGCCTCCACTCTTGGCGGGCGGCTGGCTTTTTAGTGGAGGAGCGCAGCCAGCCGCTCGCCTTTGCACTTTTGGCTACGTGCCATCAGGGATAGCTGGACAACACCTCTTGGAACCCGTCGAGCTGCCATTGAGCGCCTGTTGGCTTCGGTATATAATCCAGTGCGCGGCCCCGGGAATCTGCTGGGCATCCCAATCCTGCAGCAGCAATCATTGCGACCACTACACTGCTGGCGAACGAGACACCCGACGCCGAGATTCCCACGATACGCGCGCGACTGCCGCCCACCCTCGCCCGCCATCCCACCTTCGAGCTCACAGCTTGGCCTCAAACCTCGATCCTTGCTCCCTTGGCCAGCGGCATGTCCTACCGGCAGCAGTAACGCTCTATGCACCCCTTCTCGACCGTGACCCTCGGCATCTTCGTCGCTGGCTACATCACCGCGCGCTGGGACCTGGTTACACGCCTCTATGAGCTGGTCTTATTTGCCGCCGAATACGGAGTTGTTGTAAGTCGCAAGGGCGTGCGCCATGCAGTCTGGGCATGTCTGACGTGTAATCTTTCTTTCTTGGACTCTAGTTGCGTGTAGCCCGCGGCCTGGTGGTCCTGACTGTCATCTTCATCACTATCTTTGTGCCAGTGGCCCTACTAGCGAGGAGAGAGACGAGGCTTGTACGTTTTACATATCAACTTTGCGAGAAAAGGCATACACCTATTCTGTTGGCCTGGTCTCGAGGCTAACCACCATGGCAGCACCCACGAGAACACGGAACCGGTATCTCTGCGCGAGAGCAGCTCAGACGACGAGGCTCCTTCTGAGTGCAGCGTACCGCTTTGCCGATAGCTATCCTTGGTCATGGTAGAGCATGACGGGTTAATGAGAGTGTTTTGGCCGACGGACATTCGCAGATCCGATCGTGCTGGCGTTGTCGTTGGTTGGAGGAACTCGACACTCGATGTTTTCGTTGTCACTATCCTTGAATATGTTGATGTTAGCTCTTTAGTTGCCAAGGCTTCCTACTCTAACCTTGACTTTGATCGCTAATCAGCTTGATGTATAGGCGCATAATGTCGAGTTCCATCTCAAGTCCGGCACCTTCTTCCGGAGTGGCCCGCACTCTCCGAACCGGATTTACGACCTCTGCGGCCATTCTTCCATGCATGTCCTAGGAGTCGCCAATGTATCGAGCCAAACCGAGGTTGACCCTTCTTGGGTATGCGCCAAGACAAGCGCCAGCAGTCAATATCCTAGGATTGCCTGCGCCAAGGCCTCTAGCGTCCAGCTTATCTTATACGATAGGCCTCACCCAAAGGGCATGCAGTACATATCCTTGAACCCGATTGCGCTGGCTCTTGGAGACAAAGGGTCGTTTCCCGACGATGTGACGAGTGGCGAGGATGATAGCGAAGAGGCGAAGCATGCAGCCGCGAACAAGGAGAATCGGCGCAAGTTAGTGGAGAAGCTCAAACAGCACAGTATCATAAAGCGAATACCCTCCGCCAGAGATAAGGCGCTGCCCAAAATCGTCAATCAGGTAAACTGGTCTTGGGAACTGGAGCAAGTCTTACAGCAGAACGTAGGGCGACTTGGCCCAAGGCCAAAACGAGGTTTGAGCGTCTCTGAGAGGGTAGTAGAGTCTGCCACGACAATGCGGAACTATGTGCTCGTGCAGTTGTGGACTCTGCTTTCCGTATACCTCTTCCCGATTGTGCAGCAGGCCTTCATCCTGGTGCTATTCTTCCATCGAGTACTGGCTGAAATCCTACTCATCATCCTGGAATTTCGGGCCAAGCCGGGGTATGCTGCCCTGAAAGACATATCAGCAACGGCCCAGCAGATTGAGATTCGCCTCCAGCAGTTTTGCTACTGGCCTATGCAATATGTCACTCTCCGCCAGCGCAAGGCCAACTGGGCCAGCGTTACCACCAGTCATCCAGACTACATTCGTTTCTACAACAGCCTATGGCTCGTTGCTAATGACGTGATTATTGGCATGGCAGTAGGCTCGTACATTATTGAGCACAAGGAGTGGGTTGCAGACCAAATACGAGATCTCCTGCGTGTCTATACTGTGGAAGCTCTCCAAAGCGGCATATCGTGGCTGATGGGCTGGCCTGCGGGTCTAAAGCTCAACGGTGAACTGGCTGCCTTTCTTGGCGATTTGTTTCTCTGGGTTATTGATTATTGGTCAAGTAAGTGACAACCCCTTACCACTGTGGAACTTCTGCAAGCTGACACATAGCCTCGCATTGCAGGCTGCATCGAGGCCTTGAGCCCCGCCCTGCCGCATATTATCTGGTTCGTGGGATTTTCGTCCTTTGCCGGGGCGAGTATGCCAATTGCAATGTTCTCTGACCTTTTGTCGGTCCTTACTATGCATATCTACTCCTTCTATCTCGCATCTGCACGCATATACCACTGGCAGCTCACCATCCTGCGCTCGCTGTTCCACTTATTTCGAGGCAAAAAACACAATGTTCTCCGCAACCGTATCGATTCGTGCGATTACGACCTCGATCAGCTACTTGTCGGGACAATTCTCTTCACCCTTTTGTTCTTTCTTTTGCCTACCGTCATGGTCTTCTATCTTAATTTCGCCATTGCTAGAATGATCATTATTTCAATGAAGGCGGGCTTTGATACGCTACTATCATGTTTGAACCACTTCCCCCTGTTTGCCTTAATGCTAAGATTGAAGGATCCGAGTAGATTGCCAGGTGAGCGCGGATCACGCAACAGCATCCATACAGAGCCGTTTCGATTCGAGGCTAACTTGGGTTTAAGGTGGCATTCGTTTTGAACTTCGAGATACCCATGATTATAAACTTTCCGATGCTAATGATAAACTTTTTAATGAACCTCCTACCTCTATCATTTACCTCAAGGTGAGTTTGTCCCTTAAGTCATGTATTTGTTTGTGGCTTGGCCCAAAGAACCGAAGTTAATCTTTGCAGTGCATTCCCCTCCCTTTTCGGGCCATGTTTCATCAGTACTTTCAATTAGCCCACCGCATACGAAAACACTATCTGTCGCCACGCGTATTGCTTTGTTTGGTAACTGGGCAGTTTGTTCCTCCAATCAACAGGAAAAATCTGTATAGTCTACAGTACAGCATGTTGCCTGCGAAGAGGGCGACGATGTGGGAGATGTGGCGGGCGGTCAATACGGAAATTGAATTTCCTCAGAAGAAACCGTTTCAACTGCCCAACATCCCCCAACTGCAAAATGGAGGCAAACGGCCAGGAGGGTTTGGTAGAGCCAGGTCATACGCCTGAAATAGATACAAATGAATAATATAAATGAAACAAAATCATTTCAGTCATTTGTCCGTCTCCCGTTTTCGCCCGGATGGCTTGAATACGTACCTTGCTATCCATCCCCTTGAAGTATATACGGCGTCATGTGAGGTGAATGTTCGTAAATATGCATACTATCGTTGTCATATATTCCAGTCAATATCCTTTTCCTTGAACGGCCAGTTGGCTTTATTGGCACCGGTTGCCCTTGTAACGAAAGACAACAAAACAAACCAAAGTTTGAGAGATGACTCTATGGAACGCCACTTCGTAGACATGGTGGGGATGGCTACGCTTTTCTGCACTATCATCGTTATCGTCGTTTTTTTCAGAATGCGCCGCTTGCAAAAGGTCCAGCCTTTAGAGGGAAATATTCACTTTGTAGAAGTGAATTTGGGAACTGGGCGTCGAAGCTTCATCTAGTCAACTCCTTTGCGGATCATCTGGATAGTAAAAGACTTTGTGGATTAATGTTGGTATGGAGATATGAACAACAAGCGATGTGTCTTGTGTAAACAGTCCACCTCACATTGAGTCTATCAAGGTCTCTGGATTTCTATATATTCTGCACTTGTTCGTGAATCTCTTCTGTTTCGCAACCAATATCGATTACCGAGATATCGCATCTTGCACCATTCGCTTCAGCTCAGAGCAATACTGAATATCCTCCATCAATATCGACACAGCACTCACGTATACCTACGTCTACAACGATACAACGTTCACGTATACTTACGATTTACATCAATACGACGTTTACAAGCACTTGATATCAATATTAACAAGGTTTACGACTACTTATCAACAACGATCACAGGTATGCACAACCATCATCACCGCAACGCTCTCAAATTCTTACATCCATATCAGCATAGTATTCACATCTTGAAATATCTTGCACTTCTCAACTTCAAGATAGTCGCAATGTCCGACTTTACCGACAAACTCTCGCCACGGGCCATTGGCAACGGCATCAAGAGCCGAGTCTCTGGTCTAGTGCCTATTCGCAATGACCCCCCTTATAACAAGGTCATCAATCGCCTCACCAAGATCAGCAAAGTCGCAAAGGAGACCCGTTATAAGAAGCGAAATGTCTCCAAACTGTCGGCCACGGCCATGTTGATACTATCACAAACCGATATCAGATTCCTGCACCGAGCCATCGTCCAGGTGTCGAAGCCTGCCATTCACCGACAAGTCAACGTACCCCTTGAAGCCAAGACAACCATGAATATTGATACAGTGCCTGTCCAACAAGAGACACGGCCTCCCCAGCAAGAGATATCTGCCCGAATACAGAGGCATCGGGCTTGTATGCCGGCACTTATAGTGGGTGGCTTCAGGGGAAAGGATATTGATGAGATTGATCAGATTGATCAGATTGATCCGAGCCGGATCCTCACACAAAACCTCTGCGCATTGCGCCAGGCCGGTAAATGGGAGAAGAGGAATCTGCAACAAATCTGCTTATCGCGAGCTCAGATTGCGGCAATCGAAAGAAGGAAGGAAAGAGAAGAAGACGAAGAAGAAGAGAGGCAAAGGATGACAAGGCAGCCCCCGAAGCCACTGCAACGCGGGGATCCCATCAAACTTTGGCACTCCAATTGGAAAGCCAAAGAGTGGCGAAAGAAAAGGGAGGTTTTTGACCAACCTGCTTGTTATTAACTTGTTTCTGACTTGGGCGTTTGGACGTTTGGGCGATGGGATTATGAATATGGGGGTTCTACAAAGCGATAAAATATGGATATTGGGTTTCTTGGGATACTGTTTGTTAACTTGGAGTTGGAATTGGAAATGAATGGTTTTGTGTTGCAAACTGCTCCGTGAATATTGTGATGACGAACATAAGCAATCATCCAGTAATATCGTGATACCAAATCGTATAAGCAACAAGTTGCACCCAAAGGAAAGCAAGCTTGTTGCCCACTAAGAGCCTTCAAAACGGCAGCAAGGCTGCCCACTGTTTTCAGTAGCAGCGGTATCAGTGATATCAGCAGTATCAGCAGTAGTAATAGCCCACACAGGTATGTCTAGAGTGCTGGATAATAGAACTGGGGTACTGTATTACTTTTCCACCAACAGTCGCACTGATGAATGGACATGCGCAGAATAAATTCTTTAGGTTTATCGCGAGGCCGTGGTTGTTTTAAAAGTCAAGATCCCTTGCACAGTAATCACAATGTTCTTAGAATGTATCACTAAGAACTACGAAGTCGTCGATGTATGCTTTGACAAACAATCAGTGTAGATATTGTCTCGACTCTATCAATTCCTGGGTGCTGGGTGGTAAGTTTTGTAGCCTGTGATATAATGTGAGATATTTCCAGCCTTCTGCGCCTGATTATGTGTCTTCATGCTTGTTTTATATCAGCAGCTGATGAACACTGCAATATATTTCTTTCCTCTCGGTGATGACATACTCTTACGAAGGAATTGGCTAGATAGATTGTACTGTTATTTTATCCAAGGCGAAGGCTCCCTGCAAAGGTTCCCTTAAAGTAAATCTGAAGGGTACTTCATCTATTTTCTACCTCTGCAACGCTGCCTTTGCAGCTCAACTCGATGAAACCCGCCACAGCGTATCCCAAACAATCACAATGCCCAGCAAATGACGTCTCCAAGTCAACAAGCCCATCCCCACTGAAGCAAAGCTAAAGCGCAGCTAGATCCCCTGACCAGCTGCTCACTCTGAACCCCTCTTTTTCCGCTCTGCTAAGTTCCCCAATATTAATCCCGGGCTCTAAAAAGGGTACGTGGGGTTCAATATCGGCATGACGCTGCCCTTTTCCATTATTGCCCTGCTTCTTGCAGCTCCTCCAACTTTTGCTTCTCTCCTCTCTCCTCTCCTCCTTTCTTCTTCCTTGTTTTACCACTATCGCTTTTTCTCCCCAAACTTCCATTCTCGCGATTCACACGATTGCTCCAAGACTGCACGCAAACCAGAACCCAACCCAACCGTAGCGTTGTTTGTGTCCCGCAGCTCCGTGTAATTTGGCTGCCTCGTGGCGATCGCGTGTTGCGTCGCAAGGCCAGGCAAGACCACCTGACAGGCCCCGGTGTAAGAAGCAGCGTTTGGAAGCTGCCTGGGACGGAGCTGGACGAGCTCATACGAAGCAATTGGCCAGGCAGCGTCGATTCTCCCATAAGAAAGCATACATAAATCCCTGCGCACCCGCTCGACAGATCTTCGAGAGCTGCCCTATTCTACCAATTTATTCACGAGATCAAGAGCAGAAATTGCACGAAACATTACATATCAGATTGAAGCTATATCATCATGGATCCCAAAGAGAAATTCTATCGCCACTTTCGCGATTCCGTCGAAGGTTGGTGGTCACTTCCGAGTTATATATGAAGGCTGATCAACCACCGCATGCCTGCTAACGTTCTTTCTTTTTGTTTCTTTCTCTCAGGTCTGCAAGATCAGATTGGCCAATTGACTCATATGTCTGGGATCGGAGGCGAACGACAAGAAGCTACAGACCACATCCTCGCTGGTATCAGCAAGCTTCAGAACGAAGTTGCTGATGCTGCCGAATTCACTCCTGCATACGATCGGCGCCAATACTCAGAAGTTTGTTACCCCTAATGATTCAGTGATAAGAGAAGCCGACTGATTGCAATGTTGATAGGCCATCAAAAGCGTGCAAGACAAGCTCAACGAAACACTGGCCAAAGTAGCTCCGAAGTCACGGTTTCAATTTAGACGCACGGGTACCGACCACGTTGACATGGGCGCTCCAGAGAACGACCCGCGATTGAATCCTGGCAGCTTATCCCGACGCCCGCATAACCCACATGACGCACCAGGAGCGACGAGAGACATTTCCGGTGAAGCTGAAGATATCGTAGGAGATCTGCCATCCAAGCAAAAAGACTATAACCAAGAGCTGGCCAAGCCAGACCTTTCATCGATCCGCAAACCAAGTTTCTCTGCCGCTCAAAGCATTGGCATCTCCGATCAGACCGGTCTCCATATCATACTTCCGTCGTCGGCCGCGCGAGCTACCTCATCAGGTTCGCTTCGGGATCTCAAGAATTGTGTTATTGACCTTTCAATACCCACGGCCCAAGGAGCACCATTCCCCGGCCTTATGCTTAAAAATGTCGATAGATGCCTTATTGTGACTGGTCGTGTTAGTGGTCCTGTACACATCAATGATGTGTCTAATAGTACCCTGGTCGTTATTGCGCGGCAAGTCCGCATTCATAACTGCAAAAATGTCGACATCTATCTGCATTGCGCCAGTCACCCGATTATCGAAGACTGCTCGGGCATGCGTTTTGCCCCTCTTCCGTCTTGCTATGTATGTATCATCGTCTGTTATCATTGATGCCATATGGGTCGCCGTACTTGTGCAGTTCTGAGCAGTGCTAATTCCATACAGCTGACGGAAGCTGATGAATCGACCGAGAACCAGTGGGACCAGGTTGATGACTTCAAATGGTTAAAGACAACTCCGAGTCCGAATTGGACCACTCTATCCGAAGCCCAGAGGCTCGACGATGAAGTGTGGACGAAAGTTGTGCCGGGTAAACCAGGTTGCAGTGTGGAACAAATACTGAACAAGGTTGGGATTCCGCCAAAATAGGCTGGTGAAAACAGTAGATTCTCAGCAGATGTATTTCTGCAGATGTATTATCGAGCCATTGCGAAGTTTGTTGATAGCCAACTCGTAGTCGCATGAGAACTTGCAGAGATTATGCGAATTTGGTTTGGGCTCGTGCGAAACTCAAAAGTGTTGCAGCTGTCTCTCCTCATAGCTCCATCTTATCTCCGCCCGCGTATGCGTCTTTGCTGAATTGCATTCCGTTCTCACGAAGTTTTTCTAGTAAGGCGCGTTGCATCTCAATTCGCGTTTCGAGTTCTTTGATTTCCGCCTTTTGCTCGTCGATGGAGCGATCCATGTCTGGCAACGCGCGGACCTGTGCTCTGGCATGCTGCAACTTGTGCTTGAGCTTATCAGTAGCACCAGGCACGTCCTTGAAAGACAGCTGCTGGCCGCCGCTGCTTGGTCCTCCAGGAGTCGCTTCTGTCGTAGCACCGGTAGGAGCAGAGGCTTTGAGCCCAGCGCGTACTTTTGCCAGGACGATGGACAGCTCGGACAGAGAGTCGAGGTCGTCTGGAGACAGAGTTGAAGGCAGAGCGAGGGCTGGTAGCTCTGAGGCCATGGCGATTGCTCGTGTGAACAGAGGAGCTTGAGAGCTGTAGCTAGGTCTCGTGCTGGTCACACAAGCAGGGTGCTGAGAGAGGCTCCGCCAGGCGATAAATAGTGATCAATAGCGATAGTAAATCGTTCGTAGTACGATGGTCTGCTGTACCTACGAACTGCATGCTCCTATTGATTGGCCCACGGAGATTTTGCGTGTTGTAGGCAGCGTTTGACGGCGTTATTGAGGGGAACGTTGCCAGCAGCCGCCAGAGATTGGACGGAGCCTAGCGGCCAGGGCAAAAAACGGCCCGATGCACGGAGCCTCTCTAGCGCAGCCGCAGCACCAGCCAGCCTGAAGGCTGCTAATCCGTCCCTAAAGAGGCGCTACAACACTTATCGGCGGCGCATCTGTCCATGATATGACATCGGCAGCCTATCAACCCCACCATCCAATGCTTTTAGTACTGGCGGCATGTTTCTGGTTTTGCAGCTTGGAAAAAATACCTGATCTCCCCAGCAAATCACGCACCTAGGGTCTTCTTCTTCCTCCCTACACTCTTCTCGTCCAGCTGAACCTTCCATTGAGCCCGTATACTGCTTCATTCTGTCTCACCATGTCCAAGACAGAGCAAAAGGCCTGCCTCAGTACGTTGTCTTTTCCTCAATCACAGCCATTGCCCCGCCATCCGTCTCCTGGTCCTCAGCCCATCCCGCGTCCCAACATGCGCCGCGTAAAATCGGCACCGGCCACGGTCCCGACGAGCGATGGCCCGCCGCCCAAGAGCCCCGACTATATCCTTGCCTTTTGCTTCGTGTTGGTGTATCTTGAGCTCGGGTGGCTAATTCTACTGCTGTTGCGGTCTTACAGTCGTTATTGATGGGTGGGGTATCCCCTCCGAGGAGAGCCCCAAGAATGGCGATGCCATTGCCGCCGCCGAGACGCCCGTGATGGACGAGCTTTCCAAGAGCGAGACTGGATTCACCGAGCTGGATGCCTCATCGCTGGCGGTGGGATTGCCCGAGGGCCTGATGGGAAACTCTGAGGTCGGCCACTTGAACATTGGCGCGGGACGTGTTGTCTGGCAGGATGTTGTCCGCATCGACCAGACGATCAAGAAGGAGGAATTCGACTCCAACGAGGTCCTCAAGAAGACGCTTGAGGGTGTTGTGAGCGGCAATGGCCGCCTGCACCTCTGCGGTCTGGTTTCCCACGGTGGTGTGGTAAGTGGCCTACTTAGCCCTTTTCAGCCCTTGAGAAAGCATCAATTGTAGAATGCTAACAGCCATCTAGCACTCCAAGCAGGAACACCTGTATGCCATCCTCAAAGCCGCTAAGAAATACAAGGTCCCCAAGGTTTTCATCCACTTCTTCGGTGACGGCCGTGATACCGACCCCAAGTCTGGCGCTGGCTACATGGAGGAGCTGGTTGACTTTATCAAGGAGCTCGGTCTTGGCGAGATTGCAACCGTTGTCGGCCGATACTACGCCATGGACCGTGATAAGCGATGGGACCGTCTTGAGATTGCTCTCAAGGGCCTTGTTCTCGGCGAGGGCGAGGCAAGCGAGGATCCCGTCGCCACTGTAAAGAAGCTCTACGAAACAGAGGGCAAAAACAACAGAGATGAATTCCTTCTTCCCATTATTGTTGGTGGCGATGAGCGCCGTATCAAGGGTAAGTTTTTCGAATTCGTGTGTTGTCAGATAGAAATATTTTCAGGCTGACTCCCGTGGTTCAGATGATGATACCGTCTTCTTTTTCAACTACCGATCCGATCGTGTGCGACAAATCACTCAGCTCCTCGGCGATGTTGATCGATCCGTGCTGCCCGACTTCCCCTACCCCAAGATCAACAAGCTCGTCACCATGACTCGATACAAGACTGACTTCCCCTTTGATGTTGCTTTTGAGCCTCAGAAGATGGACAACGTCTTGGCTGAGTGGCTTGGAAAACAGAACGTTGAGCAGGTGCACGTTGCCGAGACTGAGAAGTACGCCCACGTCACCTTCTTCTTCAACGGTGGTGTTGAGAAGGTCTTCCACCTCGAGACTCGTGACCAGGACCAGGATCTTGTCCCCTCCAACAAGACAGTTGCCACCTATGACCAAGCTCCCGAGATGTCTGCGGATGGCGTTGCCGACCAGGTTGCCAAGCGTCTGGCAGAGCAGAAGTTCCCCTTTGTCATGAACAACTTTGCTCCCCCCGACATGGTTGGCCACACCGGTGTCTACGAGGCCGCCATTGTTGGCTGTGCTGCCACCGACAAGGCCATCGGAAAGATTCTGGACGCCTGCAAGAAGGAGGGCTACATCCTGTTCATCACTGCTGACCACGGCAATGCTGAGGAGATGAAGTTCGCCGACGGAAAGCCCAAGACCAGCCACACCACCAACAAGGTGCCTTTCATCATGGCCAATGCTCCTGAGGGATGGAGCCTCAAGAAGCAGGACGGTGTCCTCGGTGATGTTGCTCCTACTATCCTGGCTGCCATGGGCCTGCCCCAGCCTGAGGAGATGACGGGCAAGTCTCTTCTGGCTAAGGACCTCAAGAGGGGCGCTGATGAGTAAAGAGCCTATATTGGGAAAACGATACCACGTATAACAAAGCAAAAATTACAGATAGAATGATTTGGTGAGCATTATTGGAGGCGAAGTAGTAGTAGGGATAGAACCAAGATGAATGAGGGCATGGAGATTTTACTTTCCTGATAGAAACGACAAATATAAATATTTACTACGCATGAACATTCATTACTGAAGACGGTTTATGGATCGAAGAAAGACGAATAGGGAACGAAGATATATATTCTAAACATGACCAACATGAGATATCCACTATGTACTATTAATACTTATTACCAAAGGCAGTCTATGGGTAGAAGAACAGTAGGAGCATGCACATTTTACCTTCAAAATGAAAGCGGCAAATACGAAATATCTATTATCTTTTTTATGAGCACAATGGAGTGCTGTTGCTAGTGCAAGTACGAAATACCAAGGGTACCAACCATTGCGGGCCAAATTGTTTCTGGCGGACAGCTTCTGTGAAGAATATTCTATCGTAACTGCTCTGGTGAGCCTTCTCCACGCCTATAAATCACCTGCGGAGGCGGAAAATCCATTTGGCACCCTGTTACAAGGTCATAAATCGCCACCAAAAAATGAGACATGACCACCACTAAGTGCTATTCTTGCCAACGTGTAGTGACAAGAAACGCCGCCGATCCGGTGCTATAACCAGGTAAGTATTTATGCAGGCATGCAATAGGCAGTAGTATTGTCCATCTTCTTTTGCTCAAGAGACTCGGTATGTACCCATTCGTATTGAACGGGCTTCATGAATTCGTGGCTACAAGTTATGCACTGGAATATGTGTGGGAAAAAGCCACTTTGGCGCTGACCGGTACTCCTTTTACGCGCGTCACTGCACAAAGGCGAGCTTCAACCCAGACTCACCAGCCAGGGGAGGGGATGGAATACAACATCGAACTGGTACAAACCGAATTAGGTGCTTCAGAATGGAGATCAGCCCGGTGCCCTCTTCCCACCGCAAGCCAGCCAAGCTGCATTAGCTCGTCATGAGAGCTTCGTCTCCAATCAGAAGCGTACCCTCCGGCTGATTCGGTACCAGGGCGCTATCTAGGACCCTGGATGTAGATTGCCACGAGCTATTGGCGGTAGCAGAGCGCCCTGTCGCCCAAGTTGGGGACTCCAGCTGCAGGAGGACAGATTGTTCCGGGTGACTGGGTGAGATGGGAATAGCCTCCCCCACTGATCGGGAAAAATTTGCCATCCGCCAAAGGGTCGTAAATTGTAATGTAGATCCTTCGTTTGCGCTGGCTATACAGCTCTCACCAGGCGCTATGGGACATGGCATGACAGGGATAGAGTTATACTTCTCCGTCTACAGCGCAATGATGTTGATCTGTACAGTTCAGTACAACTTCAAGACGTTGTATGGCTTCCCCCCTCCTCTTGATCGCATTCATACCCCATAGGTACCCAGTCTAGCCCACCCTCGGAAGAGTCACATTGAGTTCCCTTGTACATGGACTAGGCAGACTCGTCTGATGGTATGCATCGTATAGTTGGGAATGGAGGCACCACGGCATCTTGCATCAAGCATCTAGCGAACGCCATGCAGATCGATCTTCAGGGTCTCGCCGACCATACAGAATCGGTGGCAACGTGGCGTTGGACAAGTCAGGATACTTGATTTGCCTCTTGCTTGCATCGTGGAACTATGTACGCCGGCCCCGTCAAACAACATGGTATTCCCAGAGAAGTGAAAAGGAAAACAGGGGTCCTGGAGCTCTCAACGGGAAACCGACGAATCGGGATGTTGATGCCTTCCCCCAGCAGGTAATCGCAGTTTCTATTTGCTCGACCCTTATGCGCACGCCCGGCACTGCCCTACGCTCGATGCTTCCACAGATGGTGCTAACAGCCTGTCCGATATGAGCTAAGGATGCGGCTCGTCGAGATCGAGGCGGTTTAAGTCTTCACCCTATGGGCGTAGACGTGGTAAAAAAGAAAAATGTTAACTTGACCTCGACATGGGCGTGCCAACGGCTGCGGTACTGTGGAAAGATTGGCTGTCGCATGGAGGCAGCGTGCGAGAAGCGGTAGGGAAACCGACGAAGTCCTGCGCAACAAATAAGCATAAGATACTCAGTACGCGTTCAGGGGAAGAGAGGGAGGAGTCGCAAAGCTTGCTTCTGGTCTAGTGAATGCCAATAAAGCAGGGCTGCCATCAACCGGTTTTTGGAGCGCAGCAGATGGGGCGGGAAAGCAGAGCCAGCGTGGCGGGTTCGAACTACCAGTTTGCCGGGCTTATGGTCTAAATACGTCTCCGAGTCGCACATGAGGGCATTCTGGGTTTTTTGAGTGCAATTCTCATTGGAATCTGCAAATAGCGATTGCTGGTTGGAGCATGGGGCCATTGGAAGCGTTTTCCTGTATACAGTAGGAAATGCGGCGATCTCCATACGTCATTGTCTCCATCGAGTGGGAGGAAAACGGCCGTGGGCAAGGAACTGGTGGAGTTTTCAGACTACCTTCCCTCAGCACGCCTATCAATACCGTTTGCGGGGAAGCTCGCCGTACAGTACACGTATACTGTATAGTGCTGGTGGCAAAACATCGGCTGGGGCAGATGGAAACATAAATTTCTTTTTCATGTTTCAATCTTCTGCCACCGCCCACCAAAAGGTATCTCGCCTTTCAAGTGAAGGCATTACTAGATGTTTATGCTGACTGAAGTGATGTCTGTTTCTAGAGAATGCCTCGCTTTAGAGAATGCCTCGCAAGCAGGTCATGCCCACGCCAATCGGCATGGCATGCAGCAAGTAAGTTTCGTTACATGACCAGCCGGAGCCGAGGCGGGGGAGTGGTCCGGGAGAAGAACAAGACCGGCAGGAAGCGTTCACGGACACCGCGGCAATGCTGGCAACTCGATAGCGCAGACTAGGCCACTCGCCAGGCACGCAGCAGTCCGGTTTCTCACACACCAGCGGCTGTCGTTGCAAGACAGGCCTGGATCTAGACCCATCGACTCCCTGCACAGTACGGGTTCTGGACTCTCGGAGGTGACGTGCGATGTAATCGGTGCGCCACAAACAGCTTCTTTGAAGGGCCCCCTTGACTGGTCTTTGGGCTGATATACGTGGGATAAGCTTCATTGGACTCACAACGAGGCAGCCTATGCGGGGCGGTGGGCCTGTTTGCGTGGGTGCCAGGTGCTTCAGGCCGCATGCTGCTGCACATCCATCGCGAATATGTTTTGGAAGAGCAAGAGGCTTTATCTGTATTATCAATAATGCAGCTGAATAGCCCTGATCAACAGCCTTTTCACTTACACCAACGGGTAAAGACTCGAACTCGGAGAGACACTGCGAGAGACACGCAGCTAGACGTCTCGGATCATGATATTTCCGAGGGTCCCCGGGAAACACGCTGGTCGATGACAGTCGGAAAACAAGATCTGCACCCACGAGACCTTGCGACCTTGTCCCCACAGGTAGTGATGGAAGTTGGCCAAGGCCCACAAGGGAGTGATGGCTGCCAAGGAAGCGCATGCTGCTAGCCAAAGATCAGGTGGACTCTGGCAGGCGGCTTGGAAAAAAAGCGGGAACCTGAGAACAATCAACACACAAAACTAACTATGCACATCCCACAGTGGCCACAAGATTCGCTCCCAGCGGCTCGTATTGCTCAAGAGTATGCACATGTTCTTATTTCCTCTTCCCCCCCTGGTCCGGGCAAAATACTTCTCTCCCGGGAACGAGAGAACCGCAGCGAAATGTTATTGGGCCTTGGACGGAGCCAGGTCCGCAAATAATCCATGCTCCGCTGCACTAAAGCAAAGCTACCACAAAGTTGCCTGATTTTTATTGTTGGTGTGGGATACTAGCAGGCGGCGTTGTGGTTAATGCTGAAGGTGTGCTGCTTCACCGGCAGCAGCTTGGCCAACGACATGGAAGAGGTAGACTTTGTGCTCTATGTGGTGCTGGAACTACGGCAACTGAACTGGCTAACCATTGGGCAGCTACGATGTACAGTAGGCAACAAGAGACACGCTCAAGCTGACAGACGGCCAAACGTCTCCAAACGAGGCAAGGCGGAGCGGTAGCTGCATACAGCTTGCAGGGCCTGAGTCCCGGCCCAGCACCCTATCGTCCTTGTAACTTTCAATTTCGAGCTACGAGGGATCCATTATAGTAAGAGCGTTAATGGATAGGAGACAAAGAGAGCGGCTCGTGAAAACACCTATCGCTCGTTATCCACGGGGGTGCGCAAAATCCCAGGGGCCAGTACAATACAGTGTATGAGCGCATACAAGCGAAGATACGAGCACTCTTTCGTATCAGCCAGTTGCGGCATTTGTATGTGCATAATCCTACACTCGTCTGCTCGACCTTTCTTACTCGACTCTCTGCCCCCTGCAAACCACCTACTGTTGTCCGATTTGCCCGCTTTCCGTGCCCTGTGCCGAAACAGCAGCGTGTACGGAGTACAGAGGAGTGTTTCTGCTAACCACACCCTCCGGAGTGGAATACCGCCTCGCTAGCTTCCCAAAAAAAGAGACCCTGATTTCTATGGCTTGGGTTGATTGCTCTGCGATTTGTCCGATCACGACCCATTGCCTCTTGTCTGCGAATCGAAGCCTCACGGTCGGCGCCATCAGCCAGGGTTGTTGCCCACACGGCACCCGCTGGCGGCGGCAAAAAAAGCTTTACTCATGCCAGACCTTTCTCGCAGGGGCGAATTGCAACGACGATCAGCGACTTGCCCTCAAAACTCTAGATGCAAATATTTCTCCTTGACTGCGCAGCCGAACCGCCATTTGAAGTAAGGCTGGCTTTGTCACAGCCATTGAATCGCGCGCGCCCATCGTCAAACCCTCATCCCGTTTTTTAAAACATTCCCCTCCCCTACCCAGCTGCCGCGCGCACCTGCCCCTCTTCCTTCCCAATTCTTCCCACGAGCTGGCGCACATTGCCAGCCTCACCCGGCGATCAACCTCAACTCTGACTTGTACCTCTCCGGCTCCATCAAATCCTACGGGGGGCTGTTGTTGAAGACGAGCTTCCTACACCCCCACAGGCTCTCAACGCCCTTGTTTTTCCGTCCGCGTCTTCGCTTCCCCTCAGCACACGGGCTCTCTCTCTTAGGCTCAGTTTCATCCGAGCACACTTCCACCAGCCCACTCCGGGAATAATTCACAATCGCGACTTTTCCACGAAACCTGAAGCCATAGGAGTGTCTGAACGGCAAAATCGCTCCTGGCCGCATAGTCAGACTTGGTAAGCCATAGCCTGGAGCTGGTCAGGGAGACGCTGCAGTGGCGACGAAGCTGGCCCCGAGTCTGCTTTGCCAATTGTCGTCACTTTGAATCCAAGCCTGAAGACGCAAATAGGCGCGAAAGGAGCCAGATTGAGCCGACGACGACATTCAACAGGTTTTCGCTTTAAGAAGGAGAAAGGGACTACAAAGAGATCAAATCTATTCTGTCAGTTGGTGGGCACTTTTTTCGGATCGGCACTCGAGAGGCCCTACGGCGACAAAAGGGAGAGGGCTTGTGGTGGATTTTCATCGAGCCATTCATCTTTGACTGCCTCATCATCGGCGCACGCACTCGTCACTGACTGCGAAATCGAGATTTCACCTTATCTCACGACTTACGCGAATCTTGTCCTGGCTCAGGATCGAACTGGCCATTCCTGCCGATTCATTCCATCACTCGACCTTTTTAAATGCATACAGCTGGGCCTAGCTAGGCACTTGCGGCACTACTCACTCCAGAGGTAAGTTGCCCGAAGTTGTTGCGGCCCTTTTTGCTTATCCAGCTCGATCGATCGATCGCCTACAGTGCCACGACCAATGACACGCCACTTGTGTACTGGACAAACCGGCGTCCCCCCATCCTACTATTACCCAATTACTCGTCACAAACACACAGTTCCCTAAGATCTCACTGTTAACGATGCTTTTACAGAGTATAGGCGCTTGGCGAGGGGGCCCGCTTGGCTACGTCATAAGTCACATTACTTGGACCCTGAGAACTTGATAGGCAAGAAGCTTCACCGGGTAGTTGAAAAGAGGCATGCTTCTTTAAATCAACACAATACTTACCAGCTTTTTAAAGCGTATAATTTGAGTCTACAATGCAGCCGACAGAGGACATTCCTCAAAAACAACCCCAACTGTCATCGACAGGCCATCCTCTCCCCCGACGAGCTTTGGGAGAAAACTCCATTACTCTGCGACACCACCAGCTAGCTCGCGATGCCTCCTTGAAAGCCAGCCGCGGGTCGGCTCCGCCAAACCCAAGCAATGGCGAACATTCGTCATCTCCCCGGCGAAATTCGTCGGGCGAGAGCAACGAAACCGGCCAGAGCGACGCCAATAAATGGTTCGATCAGTCAAACCAAAACCCTACAGCCACCTTTCACAGCAATTCTATGGATGGTAAGTATCCCGTCACTTCCCTGAAAGCACCGCATTGTTCAGGTCGCTCATGCGTGCGTAGTCGATCCACCCTTTTATCAAAAAGAATCAGATTCGTCCAATGAAGACAAGCCGTATCAGTATCCAACAGCCGTCCCTCCAGCGCTCAACACAGCTCGGAGCAGTAGCGCCGATGATTACCGAAGCGTGATCGACGATCTCACAGTCGAGATCCAGAAATTGAAGGAAGAGCTGAAGCGATACAAACAGCAAGGCCCTGATATGCTTCGAAAAGATAAGCTCTTCGAGATTAAGATACATGGGTTACCGAAAAGGAAAAAGCGCGAACTGGAAGCGACGCTCCGAGACTTTACAGCAACTTTGGGCGACTCGCCGGATACCTCTTCATCGAAGCGCGCCAAAAAATCGTCCAGGCATGCTACTCGAGATGGAATGACTTCAGGCTCAGGCTCCATGTCATTATCGAAACACGCCTCGTCTTCGTCCGGATCTCACACGCGGCCAGTTGACTCGGCTTATGCGTCTATGTCGATTGGTGCCGGCTCATCTGGAACATCGTTGAACAGACCACAGGGAGGCGCGCGATTTAAGTCTAACGAGCAGAAGTCTAACGAGCAGAAAGTAGAGAATTACTTACGCGACATCCCGGAGGGGCTGTATCCCCGTTCTCTGTCCATGACGGAAAAAGAAAGGAAGAAACTTGTGGTCCGACGTCTTGAGCAGATATTCACAGGAAAACTTGCAGGCCGGCATGCCCGCAAGATTCCACCTGGTCAACCAGCACCTACATCTACGTCGCAAGCCCCGTTAGGGCCACCAGGACTACACTCTCCCCTGCGGCCTTCCTCTGTTCAGCAGCCGAAACTAAAGCCAAGTCCAGTTGCCGGATCTGAGTCCCTGCGGGAAGCCCGAATCCTTCCTCAGGAACTCCATCACGCAGGAAAGAAAAGCAGATCTCAAGACATAGGCTCCGCGTCCAACTCTAACGGAGATCAGACGGAATCAGGGGGTAATGGCAATGGCAATGGTAGTGGCACAGGATCAAATCCGTCTCCGCCCATGCAACCACCTCCTGAACAGCGACCCACAAGACCCAAAGACCTCGATCCTGACCGCATCCAAATCCCATCCGAAAACATGGAATACATAAGACATTTAGGCCTTGTCCCTCCAGAGCTAATACCCGATCCACCATCAGAGATTGACGTTCACCCCGATGCCGAAGGGTGGGTTTACCTGAACCTTCTCTGCAATATGGCGCAGCTACACATCATGAACGTTACTCCAGACTTTGTCCGTAATGCTGTCATTGACCTCAGTGCCAAATTCCAGCTGTCGCCAGATGGCCGAAAAATCAGATGGCGCGGCGGCACAGACGGCACGAAATTCAGTAGCGAGAGTTCGGGTGACAGTTCACAGCGAAGCCCTGAAACAGACGACACGGAGAACACCAAAGTAGGGCACCGTAAGAGGCAGAGAACAGGCCGCTCAACGGGAGATTCTGGGAGCTCGGGCAATCAACCATCCAAATTTGGGCCACTGTTGTCTGCGCCCTCTGAAAGTTTTCATTACAAGCCCATCTTCGTTAACCAGCAGTCTCCCAACGGTCAATCGTCAATGGAAGACGGTACTTTGTCGTCTTTTGGTCCCATCGAAAGTAATACGGATTCGCGGTGGGGCCGAAGCGGTTCTGGCGCCTCTGGCCGTCGGAAACGTCTCCGGGACGGAGCCATTATCTATTATAGTGGTGCTCCGTTCTGTACCGATTTATCAGGCGACCCAGGCGATATCTCCCCTACAACATACTTGTTATCCAGTGAGAGAGGACAGACCGCCTCTCAGAAAACGTACTTTGCTCGACCATTGCCCTTCCGATCAGGATCAGGATCTTCTTTGGACAGACGACCGCTGAGCGACGCTGACCTCGGCCTGGGTGCCATTTCTGAGATGAGCACGGATGAAGGGGCTAGCGTACCTGAGCTCTCGACTGACTCGGGTGATGAATCTAGCGAGTTCAATATGGAATTTCCCTGGGGAGATGAGCACCAATCTCTCGAGATTCATCCGCTTGAGCCTTGCGGTCTTGGTGGCGTGCGACCAGAAGATCACTTCATGGTGGTAGTAACGACGCGGCGCTCAAAGCTCGATGCTCACGGCGGCCAATCAGGCGTGAAGCGGCGCAAGCTTTCCGAAGAAGTGACGGACAATATTATCAATCGGCTGGCTACGATGTCAACGTCATCGCCTCGTCCGCGTGCTCGTCAATTGCCATCACAAGGCGACGTTCCCAGGATCAGCATCGAATACGTGTCCGGCCGCATAAGACGCCTGGAGCCAGTACCGCTCCCTCCACCTGCCATATTCTTCCCGCCCTTTAGTATAGACTCGTGGTCTGAAGACGATTATGGATCCGATGGAGACGACGAGCTTAATTCTTCCGAAGAGTTTATGAGTCGTCGAGCAAACCCGCATCAATCCGACGACTACCCCGACGGGGTGGACCTGAGCAGCGGCGATGAGGACGGCGAAGAGCCTGACGATGATGTTGACATGGCGGTTATTGAGGACCCAGCCAGCGTTATGGATGGCATTTCCCTGCAGGGTCCACGCCGATCACAAGCTAGCACCGAGGTAGTTCCAGGGACTGTTCGTGGACGAAGCAATAGCGCTAGTGCGGAGGTGTTGCTCCGCACTGGAGGCAGCTCTGCGGCGACCGCAGGAGACGACATCGAGAGCGGGTACAACAGCAGCTCCGAAGGGAGTGGCTAATTGTACGAGAAATTTCCTATTACCATTATACACCCCATGATGATACAAGAGGTGTACAGTATGAAGACTGTGGGCTCTGTGTGAATCTCAGCGAGCTGCGCTGACACAGCAAACCCCGCGAATCGTCATCTCATGATTTATTAGGAGCAGCGGCGGCGAGTAATGAGCGACAACGGCAGCTTGTTGGAAACCAGATATCAACGCGAGCTCTATGGTATTGTTTTTTTTGTCTTGATGACAGGATATCTGTCAGGTACAACTTGATTTTTGCGGTTAATGAATTTTTGTTCAATGAACTTTTGTTATATACACCTGGGGGCTGGCGTTGAAAATCAGAGATTCCCCCACCAAAAGCACGATTCCCCCAAGCGTGCGATTATGAATTTTGGTTATGTATATTTTAGTTGTATATGCAGTACAGAAAGATTGTACATATGGCTTTTTCTCGGGCCGTGTATTTAGAGTCTAAATAGCATCTATGCTCAAGTTTACTGATATCAACAAATGTGTGAAATATCGACTACAACGGAGAAGTCAATGTGAGTTTCTTTGCTACATTATTAGACAAAAGCACTATGCGAAATAGTATTTTGTAAATGATGATGAGAGAAGCGAAGCAGCGTATCATGCTCAGACAGATTAAGCCTATACCTTGAACCGGTATCGCAGGGGCCTTGAACTGCCCCGATTAGCTCGGTATCGGTTGGTCCCGCGGTCCTGGCATTGGGAACCAAACTATCGGAATCATTGTGTGCACACCAAAATAGTATCGTCTTCATTGTTTACTCGTCTTCCATTGGGTCTTGTCAAAGTGTACCTAGATTGGTGTCGATCTCAGGCACGTGATATACTCAGCTCATTTCATCATCCAAGCTCCGAGTAGAGTGTGGCTTTCACTTTGTGGCTGGAACTGACTACGCAATCAGGCCATCCCCATCCTGCAGCACGCACGAAGCTCCTTTTGACCACTGCATCAGGCTGAGACTATACATCAGCGTGAGGGGGTTCGCTTTGATAGTGCTTATCAAGCGATTGATATAAGTTGAATTTCCATTGAATAGCTACATACTTATTTTTGGTCTTGTCTGCGCTGGTTCCGCGACTGGCATCTCCTTTATCTCGTGTTTCTTAGGATTCATTCGCCTTGTTGTGCTTTGGGCTTTGAGTGAAGATGCGGCTGCAATTGGGCTCGGCTTTGGTGGCGGGATTGGCCGTTGCTGCGGAAGCTTCGGCGTCGAAGCAAGAGGTGAAACAAGCTGGGGTTAAGAATGTTGCTATTATCGGTGAGTTGCCGTCTGGTTGAGATTTGATTTCCTCGGGGATATGAGTGGGGATGAGTCCCACGCCACGATTGGAATATGAGACATACGCATACACACACAGAGAGAGAGAGGGGATGACGGCAAATGGTAAACTAACCACACGCTGTTACAGGAGCTGGAGCTGCCGGGGCTTCAGCTGCGTACCACCTCCGCCAATACGCAGAGGAAGCCGGCGTCAAGGTCAACATCACAATCTTTGAAAAGACGGACCGCATCGGCGGCCGCACCCTGACCGTCAATGCGTACGACGACCCGTCGCAGCCCATTGAGCTCGGCGCAAGCATCTTCGTCGCCGTCAACCACATCCTCTACAACGGCACAAAGAACTTCAACCTGTCCATCGGGTCTAACTACCGCGTCGCCGAGAGCCAGGCCGACGTCACGGCCATCTGGGACGGCGAGAGTTTTGTCTATGAGACGACGGACGGCACCGCCTGGTGGTGGGACGCGGGCAAGCTATGGTGGCGGTATGGCATGAGTCCCTACCGCGCGGTGAACCTGGTCAAGGAGGTGGTGGGCAAGTTCTTGAAGCTGTATGAGACGCCGTATTTTCCGTTCCGGTCGTTGACGGCGAGGACGTATGAGCTGGGGCTGGTGGGGATTACGGGGGTGACGGGGGAGCAGTTTCTTGCGCAGAACAAGGTGAGCGAGAGATGTGGATGATGGGTTTAATGACAATAGCTGACCCATCTCTCTCTAGATTGATGAAAAGTTTTCAAGACACATTATCCAGGCTGCTACAAGAGTCAATTATGCCTCGAACCTGGCATATCTCCATGGATTGGAAACCATGGTAAGTCTTTGTTTGCATGTCCGTTTCCACATCGATTCTAATATCAAATGTGTAGGTCTCGTTTGCTACGGATGGCGCCATGTCCGTGGTTGGAGGCAATTGGCGCATTTTTGAACAAATGGTCAAAACCAGCGGTGCCACTCTGCTACATAACACCACTGTCGCAGCCATTGCCTTTGCAAAGGAAACGACTTCGTCTTCAGCACCCAAGTATGAAATATCCACTGCTTCGGCCGGCTCATCATCTACAGAGCCAGAAGTGGTTGCCACGGCATTCGACGATGTGATCATCGCCTCTCCCTGGCAATTCAGTAACATCGAGGCCGGCGAGGGAGTTATCAAGCACCACATTGAAGAGATTCCTTACACCAAACTCCACGTCACGCTCTTCTCCTCTCCACACAAGCTGGACCCCGAATTCTTCAAGCTGGCACCAGGAAGCACAGCCCCCAGCAATGTGTACACGACTCTCGCAGAGGGCGAGAAGCCGAAGGAGGGGACCGAAGGAGTTGGCCAGACGGGCTTCTACTCTGTCAGCACGCTCAGGACGACACTCAACTCGAAAACGAACACCACAGAATATGTGTACAAGATCTTTTCGCCCAAGCCCGTGACCCCACAGTTCCTGTCCGAGCTTTTTGGCGTCAAAGTGCCAGAGGCTTTTACGTCTGGGGAAAACGGGGGCGACAACGGCGGTGTGGATCCAATTTCGTGGTATTACCCTCATTGGTTCTACGCCTACCCGGTCGAGCTTCCGCGAGTGACGTTCCAGGACCCCATTCTAGGAAGTGGATTGTACTACACCTCGGGAATCGAGAGCTTCATCTCGACGATGGAGACGAGCGCCTTGATGGGCATGAACGTGGCAAGGCTGATTGTAGATGATGCGGCCGGCATTTCGCGGGAAGAGGTTCCTGCAGCTATGAGCGAAGGGGACTTGGGGCTGGAGAATGTCAAGGTAGACTTGGTTGCTGAAGAGCCTGGCGAGCTATAAACCTCGGACGAAGTTGAGCCGGGAAAAGGGAGAGAGATGGCGAGGATGGAGGCGATTCGGATGATGGCGGCAATTTGGCGAGTAATGGTGAGTTGACTATATACATGACACGTTTTTCTGAAGGGATTTTTTAGGCAAGCGACACTTTCTTTGATACATGAATTTTTTGATATATGGGGTTGGGGAAGGGGCCAGAAATGGTGAATCGAGGCACGTTTCTCCACTCAAAACTCATCGCATTTCTTTACCACTTATTTTACCCTCCAAAGTGAAGAAGAGTTGTTAGCAATATGGAGGAGTTAGTGCATGGGGCCTCAACAATTTGCAGACCGCTGGATTGCATTCAGAGCTAGTACTACTACAATTAGTAGTAGCAACCCAAACTCTGCGCTCTCAAGCAAACAAGATGTCGGAGCTTAAAGTGATTTAGCTCATGATCCTTGCATATGCATCTCGTGACTAACAAAGAAGGAGGGACAAAAGGCGGAGAAGCGGCATTGGCTGTTTTGCTTGTCTACCTAATACAGCTGCCGAATGGAATGCCAAGCGTGTCATCTATAAAGCCATGCTTATAGTACCTGCTGTGTCCTTTGTGTATCAATGGCAAAGAGGGGTCAATTGAGTTTCACACTGGTTCCTTTTTATGCTCGTGCGGCTCTCGGGATGGTGTTCCGGGCGGCTTATTGAACGAGAGGGCGACGCAATTGCCTTTCGCACCTGGCTGGGCTGGGTTGATAACCTTTTGACAAAAGCAGTTGATGATGGTGTGAGGCAAACTCAACAATCCTCGTTTATGTTGGCTGTATCATTCGGGTCTAGCTTCCATCCCAGCAGGCACCTATCAAACTTGCCGAGTCTTGTCCGTGGTTTTCAACTGATTGATGGGGCAGGAAAAGATGATGGGCTTATGTCTGGTCGTTCTGGGCTATGCATGCGGCATGGCAGGCTCGGAGCTTACTTGAAATCTTCCTTCAACGTGGGGCCGTTGCGGCGACGAGACTGGCCGCCGCTAACAAGGTCCAATTCGCCATCTCCATCAGATCTTTTTACCAATTTTTTTCCCTCCTTTTCTCTCCACTCGTTAAATCCGAGCACCAGTGGTCTGCATATGAGGTCATCTGAGGGGAAAAGAGAAGATAAAGAAAAGGTTTGCATCGTGTTATCTTTGCCGGGCTTCCCTCAATTGGACAATGGTTGTATCGCTATCGCTATCGTAATCCCCTTTCCTGCTCAAAGCTTCTCCCAAACCAGCAGAAATCCCGGAATCCCGTGTCCGATAATCGCGGCCGGCCTGTGTCGGCATCTGCCGGATGAAGCGCTAGCTCCAGGTGCCGGCTCCGACGGCGCTGGCATTCGAGGCGTCTAGACCAGTTCCCATTTGCTAATTGTAAACATTACAATGGAACTTTTTAATTGGAGAATCCTAGTATGGAAAGGTTTTCGTAATGGAATAGGAAAAATTTGTGTTTCATGCGTACGAAGTGTCATCAATTCGGGCAACTTTGACTGGAGTTTGTTGCCGGCTAGCTCGTGGTCTAAGCGAGAGGAGCTCCGTTCTTGCCTTGTTGTAACTTGCTGGTTATCAAGGTACATTAGGGTCGTTGCTATCTTTATCTATTTGCTTCAGACGGAAGGACCCCTACTCTTCGTGTTGATTTGGCTTTTCTTTTCTTTTCTTTTCTCCTTCAGCTGCCAATTGTGCTAGATATTAGAGAGTTACCATCACAAGAGCGGTGTCGTCGACATATCCCAGCTCTGTTTGTTATCAATCCGTCCACAACTTGGAAACCTCTCTTCCTCTTCAGCTTCTTCCCATCGATAAACATCATCATATAACCTACCGCCCAGCATGCCTGCTTCCGGCCCCGCATCCATCAAGACAAAGTACAGCTTCACCGACGACTACAGCGAGGGCGCCCATCCCGACGTGCTCAACGCGCTGCTGCTCAGCAACAACTCCCAAGAGGTCGGCTATGGCCACGACAGCTACAGCGAGACGGCCCGCGAGCTGATCCGCCGCCAGCTGGGCTCCAACGACGTCGGCATCTTCTTCGTGCCCAGCGGCACCTCGGCCAACGCAATCAGCATCGCCGCCTGTCTTCGTCCACACGAGGCCGTCATTGCCTGCAGCTCCGGCCACATCGTCACGCGCGAGACGGGCGCCGTCGAGGCCAGCGGCCACAAGATCATCAACGTGGCGCCCAAGGACGGCAAGCTGACGCCCGAGTCGCTGACCAAGGCCCTCGACGACAACTGGCACTTCCCGCACATGGCCCGCCCGCGCCTCGTCTACATCTCCAACGCCACTGAAGTTGGCACCGTCTATACCAAAGCCGAATTGACGGCCCTCAAGCGTCTCTGTGAGGCCAATGGCCTGCTTCTCTTTGCCGACGGCGCTCGAATCGGCGCTGCTCTTACCTCGAGCATGAACGACATGACGCTACACGACATGCTGGAGCTCACCGACATCTTCTGGATTGGCGGCACCAAGAACGGTGCCCTGCTTGGCGAGGCCGTCGTCGTCAAGGATCCCAAGCTGGCCGAGGACTTTGAGTTCTTCGTCAAGCAGCACGGCTCGCTGCTCGCCAAGGGCCGCGTCATGGGCGTCCAGTTCGCCGAGCTGTTCCGCGACGACGACAGCTTGTACTTCAAGCTCGCCGGCCGCGCCAATCTGGCTGCCGAGAAGCTCTCACGGTCCATTGTCGGCGCCGGCTACCAGCTCAGCGCAAAGACGGAGACGAACCAGGTCTTTGCGCTGCTGCCCCAGGGCCTCGTCAAGGCGCTGCAGCAGGAGTTTTCGTTTTACGAGTGGGAGAAGTATGGCGAGTTTTCCGTCGTGAGACTCCTGACGACTTGGGCTACGGATCCGGCCCAGCTGGAGAGGTTCAACCAGATTGTGCTGAGCTGGACTCCTGAGTCGCAAAAGACACTTTAGAGAGCTGCCCTTTAAGCTTTTCTTTGTTTTTTTCTCTCCACGTTTGTTTTGCAGTTTTAAGAACAACTAGCGCGATTCTTTTATTTTCTTCTTTTCTTCCTTTTTCTTACTCATGGAAATGATCGGTTGGTGTCGCATTGTTAGGCATGTGGAATTGTGATTTGAGCGACAACTGTTGAGGCATTGGGTCTATCATGGCGTTTGGGACACTCTTGGATTTGGGCTTTAAAACAGCGCGATATAGAAAAGCTTTGGGTCCAACATTAATAAATTACATTATACTCAGTTATTTTTCCTTCTTTTTGTTCTTATAGGCGTCTTGTGCCCGAGTTCCAAATCTTGGTCGTGGAGCCGCGGGCCACGCTTGAGCACATCGATATCGATTGTCACTGTACAAGATTCGGCCGTTATCATTAACTTCATCGCAGCACTGCTAACCAAAACCAAATTCTGCATTTCAAGGCCTTTTGCGAGGTTGTCCTGCAAAAGTCGAACTTAATGCATAGCAATTGATCACCCTTGAGCCCTCTGCGGCTCCATCCTCAGATTGATGAATTGAATCCATCGGTGATTCTTTACTTCCTCGATAAAACAGTATAGCGATGCTTACAGGGAATTAACAGCCCATATTTGGAGAACATGACAGTGCTAAATAAGAGGCCTCTGTCAGAAATTAGTGCTTTCTTTCAAGAAGGCATGCTACACTTGCTTCTTTTCCACGCAGCCATTCAAGCTTTTCGCATTTGCATCATAGACGAATAAGGTATAAATACCATTGCTCCTAGTTCTGGGGCGACAATTAGTTGTATTAGTTGAGTTCAAGTTTCGCAGCTTCGGGCTGACGATGAATTCTGATGCGACTCTAATCAGAGATTAACTGCCGAAATGTGGTATCGAAGTATTCCAACTCGTTCTAGCCATTTCCTTGGTAAAAAACCAACTTGGTTCAGATGAAGCTACTATGATGTAATTGCAATTCTTGGTGATTCTAAACAAGGGCATTACTCAGCTTATAATGCGATTCTCTTGTGTACGGATAAACGTTTACGGGTAAAAAGTTTCCGAGTCAAGTATCCGAGGGTTTAAAAAGTATCCGAACATGAAAGCATCCGAACATGAAAGTCTCCGAGATAAGATAATCTGCCAAGGCGTGTTTCTTCGATAGATGCTGAGGTCGCAAGCCAAGTATATTAGAGATGGTCATCGCCAATTGTATTATGCTTCTCATCCTCCGATTAGACGAGATGTGTTCCTTTCGCGTTCTATATCCAGCCTTGTTTGACACGTATACCTAAGAAGAAATTAATTGTACGAGTCGTATTTTATTATTAGAACAAAGACTAGCACTAATAGAGAGCATAACCAAGTAATTACAGAGACAATGTGCCTCCTCTCACGCAGCTGCTTAAGTTTTACTAAGGGTAGTGTTATTTAGCATCCTAATCTTACTAACACCCCAGCTATAGTGTAATAAGTCAGCCGTTCCATATATTAAAACACATATATATAACTGCTAAATATTATATATTTAATAATAATAGTAATAGCAGCAGTAGTAGCAGTAGTGATAATAGTAGCAGCAGCCTATGCTCAAGTTGGAGGGCTAGATAATGGAATTAGGGTGCTGGATAACCGCTCCCCTTTAACAAAGCTGAGAACTAAAGAGAAGTTAATACGCAATGAAATGCTGCATCACCCTATTTCTCGCATAAAAGCCCCCCGTTGTATGGACCTCTCCGCAGCAGAACCACCGTTCCCTTCTCCATTCTTCCTAACTATCGTGACATTTCCGTTTGGGGCGAACCGTGGAGCGTCTGTTTTTTTGTGGCCCAACACGTGCCATCCCCGTCTTTTCCCCTTCAATCTTCTCAACCGTCGATCACACTGAAGGCAGTATCTTATAGTGTTAGAAGCTACTTATATATTCAATCGATAACAGCATTCCCAGGCTAAACAACAACTCATTCCCTCTAAATGAAATAAAACTGCCCCAAGGCCACCCCTACTCGAAGATACTTTTACCCTAACATTACTCTGACAAAGAGGGCATATCATTTCATGCAGT